TTTTTACAACTTTAAAATTTTAAATTTTTATAAATTTAAAATTATCATATTTTAATTAATATATATATATATATAAATATAAATCCTATATATGAAAAATAAATCTATTTGTGTGTGTGTGTTAACGCAAATATGAAAAGAAGAAAAAGGTTTATGAATGGAGGAGTTGCTTGCTTAAGGCACCATAAAAAGGAACCAGAAGAAAGCTTAAAGTTAAAATGATTTTTGTGAAGAAATTTTGGTCTACCATCGTAAGCACACTGCATCATTGATGTGCGTGTGCCCTGTGATTTAAAAAAGAAAAAAACTTTAGTAAACACTAAAGAATTACGCAGTGGAGTCAGTGACTTGGAAAAAAAGGATAAATGAAATAAATAAATGAATATTGAACACAAAACATTAAAATGTTAGATTTCGCTTTAGATTATAAAACACCCGATGGGACCAATTTGACTTTATATTGTTATGCCTTTCATTTTAAACAAGAAAAAAAAAAGCATGATGTTATATTGTGATATATTGATTAAATTCTTTATATCCTATTAATCAAACTTAAAAATAAATATTCTATTAGAATCAGATAATCTGTAAAAGAATTATAACTAAGGTGCATAAGAGTAATTAATGAGGTTTTTCTTTGTGCATGGCATGGTTAAAAATAATTAAAATACAGTAAACTTGTGTTTAAAAATTTTACAGGTCACATTCATTACATTATATATTATATTATTCGAGACAACTAAAATTCATTTGAAAAACAAAGTCAATGTCAATGCTAATTCATAAATGAATCTTGAAAGAACTTATAACTCTATTCGATATTTTATTTTTCATCCATGTTACCCGAAAATTAAACAACTAATGAAATTAAAATTTAATAAATTTTTGAGTAACTTAACCTTTTATTGGTTGAAATAATAATAGACGAACTTATATAATTTTATAGTTTTTCAAATGAACAGGGATATTTCACCTAAAAAAAGTAATCATACCCATTTTAAGAAAAAACAGATTTCATAGAATGTGTTTGATCATAATTGTACTTTCAGCAAAATGTGTCAGAGCCAATTCTTCATCGGTTGATATAACATTTTCTTATATGTATTGACATTATGTATTTTCCAAAATAAGGATAAATTCTTAAAAGTGTTAGGGAAACAAAACTAAGTTCCCTCTACAAATTGCTTTCACGAAGGCTTTTCAAAATTATCACAGCTGAGAAGTAAGAGTTATGATGATAATAGTTAATATCAATTTATCAACAACGTGTGACTAAAGAGCCTTACCTAATAATCCCGTTACTCAAATCTCATGGAGGTTTATTCTGGGTTTACATTTCACTTAAGCTAAAGGCAAAACAAGAGAATCAATCTATTCTCTTGTTCATAATGGGAAAGGAAAATGCAAAACTTTATAAAGAAAAAGTGTGTGAGTGATGTGTGGTACGACTCTCACTTGTTCTTGTCGTCTAACGGCAGCGTGTAAATTAGACGTTAAGATGATTCCACCATTCATTGCATCGTCTTCAACATTTCATGACCTAATGATGGCTAAGACTATACATTGAAACGGACAAAAAGAATCATTACATAAAAAAAAATTACTTAAGAATTTATCTTAATCCTATTCTTACCATCAAACACCCTCTAAAAGTTATTGTTGATGGGTCTTTCAATGACTATTATTATATAGGTTTGTTAAATAAATTTAGACAAGTATAAGTTTTGGCATTGGACAATGAGAATTGAAAACAGCCAAGAAAAAAAAGGTAACTTAATGACAAAGCCTCATGAACAACTTATTTTGGACATAGTTAAAGATGATTAAAATAATAAAAAGAATATGAATTTTATATTTAAAGGGGTTGTCCACTTTCGCTTTTGCTTCATCACGTTAGGAGTTAGGTTATAAATATATTAACATTGTTCGAGTTTGAACCAAGAAAATAATTAGCATCTTTACAGGTTGGCTTTAGCGAGAAGGACGTGTTGTGTGTTTTTTAAGTTCAAAGGAATTTGGCATCTCGCAAATAAGAGTAAGACATTTGTCTATTATACTGAAACAGAAACCAATTCTTCATGATTTAAGATCTGTTAAAATGTTTATGTTAATGTTGGAATGAGTTGCAAACGACATTTAAATAAGAATAAATGTTTTAACAAAATTTAGGATAATTTTTTTAATGTTTTTAGTATTGTTTTTAAATTAAGAGTAAATTGTTACCTCCATAAAATATTTATATTTAAAATTATTATAATAAAAATTTAATTTTAATTAAAAATATTAAAACACTTTTAGAATTACACCAAATTTTGTCCTAAATATTTTTGCTCCTCACGAAATTGCCCAAGATTGTCTGCCAACAAGAAAAAAAGTATGTTTTAAATAGATATTATTTTTGCTTTGATATATATATATATATATATATATATATAATTTATATTTAATAATAAAGTAATAAATTATAACTAATTACCTAACAGTTTGATATAAATTAAATGAAAAATTTAAATCAATCGTAAGAGTACTTTCATTGCTCTACTATTCAATTACTAACATGCTTTCAAGATGTAACTAATTTTTATATGTAACAATGGAATAAAAACTTTTAGTGAACTTGCTTTAATCTATTTAAAAACTTCATTTTCTATTTAGTAATTTAAATTAAAATATTTAAATAAAAATTTTAACAAGTTAATCATGATGCTAAATCAATTAAATATCATGTCATAATATAAATTATAACTCGTTACCTCATTAACATTTTTTTTAGTAAATATATAGTAAACAAATGAATGAACCTTTTTAAATCAATAAAAGAGAGATTTGATTGTTATAAAACAAAATATTAAGAGAAAAATATTGCATAATCTATACTTATGAAACCTAAAAGTAAGCATAATCATGTATAAATATTAGTTTGATAATCATATTTTTTTTAATGATTTTATCTTTAAGAAATATAAAAAATATATTTCACATGTCTAAATATCGTTAAAAAATGTTATATAATGTATTTTAGAATGTTTCAACGCCGGGTTTGATTTAAATATGAATGTTGGTTTTTAAAAAAAGTATGCTTTTATTTTATATGATAATATTTTTTATGTATGCTGTTCATCTAATTTATGTTTATTTAAAAATTCTAAAAACTAAATCAAAGTTTAAAATAAATAAGAATATTATAAAAAATTAAAATCAAGGTGGTGGTATTGAGTGACATTGTCACCTAAATTAATCATTATGTGTGATGATGGTTGTAAAATTTTAATCACAATAGCTTAAATAATCTTTGATTATAATAATGGAATACTAGCAAAGGTTTTGAATAGAAATTGACAAGATAAAGAAAATAATAATAATTATGATAAATTTAAGAATATCAAGAAGTATAATTATATTTTTATATCACAAAAAAAATGGCCTTTCATGAGAATCTTCGCTTACCAGTTTTTTTATGAATTTTTTTCTTAAAAATTGAATTAAAAAATATTATTGTGAATATTAGTTTTTTAAAAGAATTATTTTAAATATTCATATTAAACATGATAATTTAATATTTTTAAATTAAAATTTTTTCCTACCAAATGCTCCTCAAAAGTTAAATCAATCTATATGTTACTAAATTATTATTTTGTAAATCTATATTTTAAAAGTTTATAATTAGTTTTAGTTAGATCCCTCCATCAGAGTTTTATTAAGTGCAAGCACCTAATTAAAAATTCAGTTCAATAACTATTTGTTGCAAGTTTAGTTACTTTAAAAACTTATGAACTAATTAAAATTTTCAACTAATTAGTTTGAATCGATCATAGACTCAATTAAAAATAGTTTAAAAGTTTCGAGACCCACTTACAAACTTAGAAGGAATAACCAGATATACATTTTAATCTTTGGTAATTAAAACAACCTTCAACGCTGAATGTAATTCCCTTACTTTGACTAAAGAATTATACATAAAATGCAGATGAAATATTAAAAGAAGGACGACATATAGAAAAGACAAGTGATTCTTACCAACTTCCATTATGACCAACATTTACTTGTATGGTTGGTTGAATTTAATTAAGTTTAACAAAAGAATGTTTAAATTGGAATGGTTTAACTGAGAGGGCCAACTGCATGAAGATAGTAAATTGGTGACAGAAGAATGGTGTTACAAATATGCAGCTGATAGGCTTGCTGCTTCCTCGTACTGTTCTTCAGAGATTTCCACAATAAAATGTCGACCTCCGAATGGGTGGGATGTCTTTGTCATCTTTCATATCATCATGACTTAGATAGTTACTTTCTTCTGCTACTGTCATGATGCGGGTCCAACAATGAAGGATAAGGAGGTCTATTATGAAGGCTTTGAGATGGGCCCGCACAAATGTTAAAGTGAAAACCCAGACTTCATAACACAAAAAGCAAAAACAAACTACGGAAAAAATCCCCTTGATTCTGACATGATTATTGTACACAATGTTTTGAAAGAGTTAGGGAAAATAATCAATTTAATTATCATTAGCTTCTTAAACTTTTGGATGTTAAATCATTCAAAGAATTCATGCCATCAAATTAATTCTCTTAAGATTTAATATTAAGTCTTGGAGGACTCAAGTAGTGAAAAATGAATTATTGTATTTAATTTGGTGATAAATTAAGTTTAAAAAATATGAAATGTCACCAATTAATTTTTATGAAGAACTAAAGTAGTGACGATTATTAGAAAACTAAACTGCTAGTAATTTTTTAAAAGATTTAATTTAGTGACAGATTTTTCAAATTAATATTATTATAACGGATATATATTTTTTTTTAAAAGAACTAAGCTACCGTCGCATCTTAGTGATAGCAAGTCGCTATTGAATCTGAAATCACTGCAATTCAATTATTGCATTAGTGATGGTCCGGTGGGTGCATGATCAGCAATACAAATTAACCCCAAGTTAGAATGCCCCAGAACAAAACTGATGCAACGAGAGTAATCATTCAATTATAAATGAATAACAGTAGATTGTTCCAACCACTATGTTAACTGTTCATATAAAAGTAATCCGAAACCAAGTGTTTCTTGATACAACAGATTGCACAGGTCCCGTTGCACAGCATTTAATGAACTACAAGCTACGTTAAAAATTTAAAATTACAAAATACAGACTAGGAAGCAAAACAACCCCATAAATAGAGGTTAAAAATCAGATTGTTTGAAAACACAGAAAAGAGAAATTGATCAATATGTACAGGTGTTAAATTTCCGACATTGTTGTACAGTGAACGATCAAGGCATGAAAAAACCAATAAAATGTTTGCAAGCATTGAGCGTGACTGGGCTAACATAATGACAAATAAAGAAAGAAACAATTATTAATTGCATATGCTGTGCAACATAAATTGCAATCATACAAAATTTGTATTCTAAGGATCATCGTCGTAAGGTGCGGCAGAGGCTGATGGGGATGGAAGAACCAATATAGGTGATCCATTATGTACAAATTCAGTGTGAAGGGAAACATGCTCTGGCTTATAGTCCCACATGTGTCCCGTCAAGTCCAAATGCTGAACATTACCTAAAGCATGATAACGAAAACACAGTTAAATCTGAAGCTGTTCGAGATAGAAACGTAAACTGTTGAGACTTGAAGGCATAGTTTACTTTATCTAGATTTAAAATGGTTTCACATTCCTAAGGAAACACATATATCAAGTACTATTCTTCTAGCTGTAGTTTCTTCTTGCGATTATAATATGATCCTAGCAGCATCCACGTAACCACAAATGGGAATTTAGTGGGCATGCAATCAACTAATCAATTTAATAATCATGAAGTTACAACCTGCCAGCATCTAAGAGCCAACAAGTCATCGATAGAAGAGACAGCACCAACACAAATACCTTTGGCAACTTTTAATGCAGAGCAGATGATGGCCAGTGATTCTATTGGCATAAGATTACTCGCTGCATTCACATCAATTAATTGTGGAGCTTGTGACAAGAGCTTGGACAAAAATTTGGCAGTTTCAATCCCACCACGATTTTCGCTGACAAATAGGAAAACGTGTCATGTGATTGTATGTGCAACATAAAAGTAAAACAATAGCAGAGCAGTAAGTATTAATCTTAACCTTATATTAATTTTCACTAACTTAAGCTCCTCTTTTATTAGCTTTTGAAGCTCTTGAAAACCATAAGAACCTAATCCAATGCCTGCAATGTCAAGTACTTCGATAGCCGTGCTCAAAAATTTTCCCAATGCTTCAGCTACTTGACTATATAAGAAAAACCAATCACAATACGTGAGATGAATTCAGCGATGAAAAGAGATTTTATTGTCTTTGCACAAACCTGCCAAGGTAATTGTCAGCGACAGAAAGAGACTTCAATGGTCCTTTGAAGGTAGAAAGGACATGTAGGAGATGATTCACTCCAGCAAAGGACAGGTCACAATTTTCTAATTTCAAACAAGTTATGCGAGGGCATGTTTCACATGATCCAACAAAATAGAGACTTAAATTCCTGTAAGATTGATAATTCATAATTAAACACTCTACTCTAATTTCATATCTTCAAAATACAATGATAAAATGGAAATACAATTGACCTGATTCCATCATCTTCAATTAAATTGTCACTTATATCCAGCTCCTCCAAGTTAGGCATATGCACAAGAGCATATCTAAGACTTTCTACATCATCTTTCCGTAAATTGTTTCCCCTATAAGACTATAAACAGATTAAAAATATTTTTCTTCATGGAACACTGACAGCAACGGAAATATGAATGCAACAAGCCTGTCAAGTGTCAACAGTCATACAGCAGCTCATACTAAGACTAACTCAAAAACATGGCACTAAGACACTGCATCAAAATGTACCAAAAGAAAAAGGTAATTTAACTGTAGAAACACTGTCTCATTCATTTTCTGTACACATTGGATTATTCATCACAGCCAATAGAAGTTTGTTATTAAAGAGTTCTCATATCACAGAAAATGTACAACTATATTTAGTATGGTGCTACCTCAGGTTGAGAACGCGTAACTGCTGCAAGGACTTTCCATTTCCTAAAGACAGATGTGAACAGCTCGAGAATCTCCTATTAAAGTCAGAAAGCCACCCTGCTATCTTGAAGAGTGTGCATGAAACTTTTTGTCAGCTTATAATAAAAATGATGGTACATAATGCATATGTAGATGAAAAACTTACTTTATTCTCAGAAAGGTCAAGGACAGATATGCCAGAGGAAAGATTGAGAAGAGTCTCAAAAAGAGCTTTGGCAAAAGTGCGTCCATGGTGGTTGTCAGATAATTTCAATGCGCACAAGGACCTAGTAGCAGCATTAGCATGAACGAAGGAAAACACTCAGCAGACAGAAAAGCTATTCTATAGTTATACGTCCAAGTGAAATACACCAAACATCATAACTAATCATTATGCAAACTTTTGCAAATGATTAAAAGAGTATGACAAGACTCACTAAGAAATTAAGAACTTATAGAATTTGTAAAATTGCTTGAGTGAATGGCAGTAGGCATACACAGGATTATCTACAATGAAAATTAAAAAAATATGATATTTACATGAATAATAAATTAGAAAGCATTGCCTAGAATACTAAGATTCCAATGATATAAAAACTAGTTATTAATACTACTGTGTATATTCCAACAAATATTTTTTCACATGAAAAACGTAGTAGGACTGTAGGAGATTGAAGTATTTGATCTAATGTTATCATAAGATAAATGCCTTTCAAGAAGGTTATCAATTTCTTCAATATCTCTGAAATTGATGTAATAATCATATATTATCTTGTCATATTATATTCAAGTGGAAGCTATATATAAACAATGTTTCCCTTTCCGCTACCAATTTCTACCCAAAGGAAAAAAAAAAAAAACTTGGAGTAATAACTATACACATAATTCCTTGAGAAATAGTTATGATTAATTATATTAAACTCAAACAAAGTCTTTGAAATAGTTATTATGACTACTCAGAGAACATGTCAAACATTGATAAAAGCACAAAGTATGAATATAGTTGCCAAATGGCAATCATAAAACAACAAAATAAAAATAAAAAGGTGAATTTATGCTAATGTACCTTCCTGAAGACAAAAATGACACTAGTCCGCTAGGCAAAGAAACTGAGCATGGTTCCAGAAAGCTTGAGGCAATGATTGACAAATGTTGGATTGCATGTTTTTGCACACTCTCTATGAGTAAAGAACCAAATATTGCATCAATAAAATGAGTGGAGAGTGTGCAGTGAACAAGTTCCAGAGAAGTTAATGTTCTACAATGTTGAGCGAGCAGTTTGCATAATCCGTAAATCTGTGAAACAATGCATGTGAAAACATCAAGAAGATCATAAAGATGCATTTTACACTTAGAGAAACTATTGATATAATCGATCATATTTGCAAAGTAAATATAGTTTAACACACCAATGCGGAAGGTGCTCCACCAAGTATGAAACTTAAAACATTCTCCAATTTGCTCAAAAGGTACTGAATATTTTGATTATAAATCATCACAAGGACAAATTGAAAGAGAGATATCAGAGCTAAATATGTCTTTCTACTTATTAGTCACCATCAATAGCAACTATGCACAAAAGGGGCATGGTATCTCACCTTCACTTCAATCAGTACATATGAAAACCCAAGTAGTCCAAGTAAGTTGAGAGCATGCCCAACCTAACCACATACACAATGCCCAAAAATGCTTACGCCCCAAGATACTAGTTATCATACAACACTAGCCTTATGTACTTTTAGCACTCCTCGCTGACCCACTCCAATTTGGAATTTGGGATGTTAAATATGTGTCTTAGGAAAGGCCGTACAAGATAAGAAGTAAGAGGATATAAATAGTAAACAGTTGGTAGTGCACTACTCTGTTTATTTTAAGGACAGCGGTCATCTTGTTTCAGCTCATTTTATCACAAATTTACAATCACAGGATCAGTGAAACTTGGAAAAAAAATGCAACCAATTAAAGATTTAGATAGATAAATATTTACAGACAAGTTAAAAATTACAAATTCTTCAATATAGATTATACAGATCTATAGGAGGAAGGAAGCTTACCTGTTCCTTGGATCTGATACATCTTAGTACCAGACTCTGCAGTTTGCATTCCCTCAACAAACCCTGCAAGTCAGAGTATATGACAACATGTCTTGTTACATGGTTTAAAGCATTAAAGAGATAAAATTTTGGAAAACATCATATGATGCCTATCTCAAACAGTTAACTAAAACGATAATAACTCGTGGAAGCCTCCTCCTTCCTTTTACTGGCATTTTAAAATGCACATCGTTGGATCTCATCATTCAATTCTCCTAAACTAGAAGCTTTAAATTTTCCAATATGAAAATTTAAAAAGAATTAAATTTATATCATTGAAGTTTTGAACACAAGTTCCCAAATGCTGTGACAATAACAAACAAAATTGGGTGCTTAAAGAAATGCCCCTTAGGAGAAACATTAATTGAAAATTTGTCAATTATAAGAGTGCTCGATGAATAAAAAGTATATTATGAATCTTACAATATATAAACTAGTAACTGTGAACAGTCATTGTAAGCTTGTAAAAACTACATATGCATTTGACCAGATGAGAATATGACTATAATTCCGAAAAGATAAATAAAAAATAAACCATGGAACTAATTAAGGATTATTTCATGATATTCTAGAAAATATAACTTACACTTGTTTCTGCAGTACATAGAACATTTTGCAGCCTCAGGCAACTGCATCAAGACAAAGTAATATAAGAAGCAAAATAATTGCTCAAAAGATAAAATGCGGAGATATATAACATATTTACTAGCATGGATATAATCATGATGCATTATTACTACATCGAGAAGCCAACATTAAACTTTGAACTAATGAAAACAGTGTCATCAAAGGTGTTTCATCATCTAGGCAGGGTAGAAAACAGCCACACTGCCTCAGATGGCCCAAGGGAAGCAAGTTTGATGATGTGTTTAATGCAATCAGATCCTGCATTTTCAGATAACTCACTTATTTACTCTCTCATAAATGACTCAGCAACCAATGGTATCTAATATAAAGGAGTGTTTTGTTCTACTAAAAACACCACCTAAACTTACCTAGCAATCAATAAAGATAAAAACAGGATCTGAATTCACCAGCAGTGTGTGACATACTGTTCAGAAGCAAAAGTTCCCTTTATCATCTAGTTCCATGATCTTATTCATAGCCTTATATATTTTGGATTGAAGCTACTGATTCTCCCCCTTTATCCCAAGTTAGATATAAAATTGTTCATGAGCCTTCATTGAATATCTTGAACGTTTAGGAGAGTTGGTCTATGACATGATATAAGAGCCTCAATTACCAAGTACTTAGGAGTTCGATCATCATTGCCCCTTTTTACTAAATTAAAGTTGAATTTCAGCACAAGGTATGATGGGCCCATGCAGCCCAAAGCGCTTTGGCATGAGGGGGTGTGTTAAATATAAAACCATTCACAAGCCTTCATCCAACAGCTATCAATTTTAGGAGACTCGATAAATGACATCTCCCTTTAATCTCTAATATTTGCTGCCGTCTCTTGCTTGGCCTCTTGATTTACATTTGGTTGGATGTGCACTTACGTTGTTACATTCCTAGTCACCCTGGATTAAATTATGTCTTCAAAGTATTTTCGTGACTTAATTTGCATTTAAATCGTATTCGGGTTATCATTGTCATTATGAGTAATTTCCACAACCCTAGAATGGTGTGAGCATACTACCTCAACGCATCGTAGTGATGCAGTTTGGGGCAGCAGCAACAACCTACTTTTCACCTTGTGGCAAGTGACAACAGTGATGGACAACACAGATTAACTAGTCGCTGAATCTGAAATAATCAAAGAAAAATTGAATTAACTATTCAACACTTAAGCTTTGCCGATGGATAAATATCTTATTTTGTCCAAGAACACAAAAACGAAATCCATGGCTCTCTCCTTTATTATTTAAAGCCAATCCTAACTGATCATTTACTGATTTACATAAAAATTATGACAGACAACATAAATTTTACATCTCACCGCACATGGCTGCCAACTTGTAGGCAATGGTAAGACAATTTTGAATGGTCACAAGTTGAATGACTTGTATGTCCCACACCGCCAATATATTTCAGTATGCTGTCTGAAAGGAGGGTCAAAGTAAAGAAAATTCAATAAAATATCAAAGACAAGTGGATAGAAAGGGAAGGTGATGTGGGTTGTGCAGCCCAAAAAATAAGATTATTTACACACAAAGTTGGGGACACCTTAAATTAACAGATACTTAAATACTATAGTGCAACTGATGAAAAAGTAAATACTTCGCAACTTGGTTTTTCTCAAAAGATCTACTGCAGGAGGTGCCAAAAAATATTTAAAGCATGAAAGATTTATGCAAAGGGATGATCAAGCAATTGAAGAAACTTTCAAACATCCATATTATTGCTCATTCATTCTTTGTTATCAGCTGAAAGCATCTCAGACTGTCTTTAATGTGTCAAACATTAAAAGGGATACTAATCTGTATTCTCACATGTCACAATCAAATCTCTTCAAGTACAAATTAAAAAAAAAACCTACAACAGTTTCATTTTAGGAGCAAAATTAAATCATTCAAATACATAACAACTTTCAAAAGCAAACAGTCTTCTGCCTAAGCTAGAAGCAGAAGGCAACTTCACGCAGAAATTTTCATTATATAAAAAAAGGATAGCAAATTAGCATAGCACCTGAAATCTGTATGTCACCAATATATCCATTAAAAGATGGAATTAGAGCTACCTCCGCTGCTTCATCTAGACAACTGCCATATCATGTAGATTGTAGAAAAATGTAAATTTTGAGTTAAACCAACATTAAAATTTAACTGATAAACCCAAATAGCACTTTATATACTCTTGCAAATGATTTTCCCAATACAATTGCTGCCAATCGGTTGGCTGAACCTGCTTAACACGATCAGGCCACCGTAACTTAAACAACCTCTCCCAAGCTGAATTTAGATTCCAATCCCTATAATTCATAAAATAAATAAAATCATAAACAACAAAGATTCCAATCGAATACATTTTGCACAAAATTAGGAATGAGAAATTGCTCTCAACCTCGAACGTTTTCTCTTATTTGTTGAGTCATCGAATGAAAACCCTTCCTCATCCCTATCCAGAAACGGTCTGTTCCAACAATAACACAGCTTAGTGGAACACCAAGTAGAAAACGGTTAGTTAAAATAAAAATAAAAAAACATTTCAAAAATTAAAAATTAATAATATAGGAAAGTGAGTGAATCATGTAATAATAGAGATACATGTGATGGTGGAATTTGCGCAATGCAAGAGGGGGCAAACGCGTGATTAAGGTGTTGAGTAAGTGGAAAGGAAGGTCGTATATAGCGAAGAGAAGAAGCTCATCGTCCTCTGCATGGAGAAGGTGGTGTGAGAGAGTGTCGACGCAGAGAGAAATGAGAGATGGAGCCTCCCCCATTGTGCTCTCTGTAATGGACAAAGCACCCAACGAAATTGGGTTTTCAGTCAACGCAGAATTATCTTCAAAAACTCAACCTTTTTAAACGTTTTTCATTTATGTGTAGTTTATAAGGATTTCAAGGTGGATTCGATTCAAGAACAAAGAAAAGTAATTCAATTTTAAGTGATTTATTTTTATAAAATATTTTAAATTCAAAATCCTCTTTTTTATACACTATTTATTATTAATCAACTAATACAAAACTTTATTATCATAGCAAAATTATAGCTTTTGTGTATCAATACTTTCCTTCATCTTTCTATTCACATTTAGTTTTAGACTTTATAAATAAGGAATTTTACTCAACCATAAACGTAAGAGAATGGATTTTGAACGATTTCATTGTGCAGAAAGATTAACCTAACAAGGTTACGTCACAGACTCAGTGGTTTTGCAGAATAACGAATACGGTAAAGAGTAAGAGCATATTTACCATATTTTTTCAATTAGGGATCAAACACTTCAAAACAATTTTAAATTGAGACTATATTGATAATAATCATACGCTTAATGATAAAAATTTCAATTCCATCCCCTATTTATACATTGATTACTTGTTACTGACTAAGGATCATAGATGATTGTAGAATTGATCCACTATTCATGTAGCTGTATGCCACATTTTAATTTAAACATGGGCCACATATGAATGGGCCTAAGAGCTAGGCTCCATTGGAGAATTGAGTCTGGTCATGTTGGGCTGTACTCATACGGATATACACTTTTTAGTACACAATACATACGTCGACTAATACACAATGCATGCGGTACAAGAGATGATGATGTAAGACAAAAAATTTCTTGTGCATAAAAAATAAAATTCAGAATATAATAACATAATTATAATTAATAAAAATTTCTTACGACATTTTTGTTGAGACAGATATTGATTAGAACAGATTACATAGAAAACTAAAACATTGAAACTCCCATGAATTACAGAGCAACTAAGCAAGGATGGTAGAAATTAAAAGTGTGTTACATTAGATGTTGGAGTCGATTGCCATGATGGTGCTAAGGTTCATAGGGCTCATAAGGTCTCTGGTTCCTTTGAAGATCTCATCCACAATGAACTCCAACGCACGTTGGCTTGGGTGGAAAGCATCCCAAAATGCATAGAGATCCCTGTTTGGGCACACGCTGGATAAAGGGTTGCACAGTCCTACCCCGTTAAATCGACCTTGCCCACAACATGCTACCTTTGATGTCACAAAACCTGCATTTTCTCCCCAACAATTACGTTAAAAAATGAATAAGCATCGGTTCCCTAATCTTAATATTAATTAAATGTTGAAGAGATTACCATATTCTTGAGGGTTGGAGATGAAATTAATGTTCATTAGGAAGGCATTGACAGCAACAAAAATGTCGGAACCAAGCTGGGAGTTGAGATTTGTAGTCATTTGGAGAAGCATAGGGTTGAAAATCTGAGTAGCTTGTTGTAACTCTGGGACACACTCACCATTGCTGCTCCTCTGAGCAAGTTGAGATGGGATACATCCAAGTGGACCGGTTCCTGTCACCAGAACCCTTCGAGCTCCCAACTCATACAATCTCTACATTAACATTTAGGCTACAATTCAATCAGAAATAGGTTTGCAGGCTGCACCATTCTAATCATTTTTTTAATGATTGTAGGTACATGAGTATTCAGGCATGTGTATCTCAATACTCACCCCACCTCCTTATAAGAAACTAGAGAAAAAATTTATCTAATAATGGTTACTACTATTTTTACCTATAATGTTTTTAAAATCAAAGATGTTATACAAATTGTTTTGAATATAAAAGTGTATTACTACTATATATAACCCTGATCAATTTTAACGAATCCTAACTTATATGAAATAAACACATGCATTTCTGTTAACATGTTATCTAATCCACCAACATCAAATTTAGAGATGACAAAACAAAAAATGAATAATATTATTTTAACACTTAGTTGGTATAGATATTCTATACAAATTAAAAGCAAATAAACTATAGTTAGTTATATAAGGTGTATAGTATAAAATACTAAGTGTTAAAATATAATTATATTAAAAAAAAAAGAAGAGAAGAATGACCATGAGAATTTTTCGGTACTCATAGATAAGGTAGGTAGAGAACTGGGGCACGCTGAATTGGTGAGACCTTGGAGTGATTGGAGTGAAGAAATAATTGTTAACAAAGTCATTACCACCCAATGTCATAAGAACCAATGCCCCATTTACAACCCTTTTGGCTCTTTCACTTCCTACAACTTCACTTAACCGTTGTTGGTACTCCACGAACAATGCAAACTGCTGGAACATTCTCAAAATACCAACCTATTAATTGAATACCCAAAAAATTAAGGATCATCCACTGTTAATTTCAATTAAACTATTTATAAATATAACTTTTAATTAGCGATAAATTCATTTTTTTTCTCAGTTTACATATTTATTCAGGAATACTAACACATTTTTTTAAAGGTTGAATACACTTTATATATATATATGATAGAAAATAAATATGGGCAGCAGAGCGCTTTACAAATTGGATGCCAGTGTCATTGAGGATTCCCGTCCCAGCAGAAGCAAAATTGGCCCCAACCAAAAGCTTTTGTCCATTTAATTCAGGGCTCAAGTAGGGCAATGTGGGCTCAGACCCAATTCGCTTGCCTAACATCAACATTTCACACCCCACAAAGATCAAAACCATATATGGGTCAGCATGCACATATATAATGTATTCAAATTCAATTAAAGAATCAAGGGAATTGAAAATTGAATTGGAGAGCATGTGCAATATCAACATATGCTTTTCATTTTTCAGAATCTCAATGAGAAACAATAGTTGAAACGTGAGAAATAAGAAAAAAAGGGTGATTGATTGACATACTGATAAGATCAGGGAGGTTGAGGCCATTGGAGAAGCGTCCAGTGGGGCGATGAGTGGGATAGTCAATACCATAAGGGGGAGAGTCAGCACGTGCCGGGGTTGGCAAGTAATTGTTGTTGCCACTGTCAACCAGTGAGTCTCCAAACACAAAGAAAGCACGAGTTCCCTCTGTTCTCTTTGGATCAACCACAATCACTGCCACCACCATGGTGGCCATGACTAGGACCACTCTCATAGTACTTGACATTAGCTTAATTATGTTACCACTATCATGCCCTTCTCCCAAATATTGGTATATATAGTACTTAATTGGTGGGTGATATCTATGGCTAGCCTTCAATGATCTTATATAACCTTTTATTACATTGTTTTTTTTACTGTATCATTTAGTGGGTGTTTGGAATAACATTGCATTTTCAGCGTATGCATGTCTCCCACGCAAAAATTACTATAGAGTATAGCATTAAAATGATTTACGTAATACCTAAACACATGCTTAATGTACTTTGTATATGCAATATTTGTATTCAATTTTAATGTACTACTATATAATAAGAATTTATGATGTCTCAATACTTTTATACAAGAATCTATCTCCGTTTTTTTAAACGAAGGGAATGGTGTTATAACTGATGATAAAAGCATATACGGTATCAGTTCAACAAATCATTGGACGTATGATTAAACTTTACTGAGGGGTGGGGGGATTGAGAAGACAGTGGAAGTTGGGAAGTTAATGAGCTTCCTCTTTAAGTTCAGTTGTGGTGCATGGTACACGTTTATCTGATTGGTCCGAAAAATGACATAAGCAATACTTTTGAAGAAAGCCAGTGTCCAAACATGTTACATATATGAAGGTAAAAGTGAAAATGTTAGTGTCATTTATGATGGTTGTTGCGTTGTCCAGATTTTAATATATGCTTATTGACAAACAAGGAATCTGCTTATTATTCAATATAATCTGTTCTGTATACTTTGCTAACCATAAACTATATCAATTAATGAAACGACTCAAGTAAGAAAGAAACTGTTGTTAACATGTCATTAATACCCATGCTTTCGTTTTTGACAAAACTGGATATTCCCTCTAATCACTTTCTGAGAATTTAAAAAAGTTGATCAATATTTTTCCCGTTTAATGTTGGAGTGATTTAAATATAGTATATGATTACATATCATTAATTCATTAAACAGTTCTAAAGATTTTTCTTTTATCATAACACATTACACTTTTTATAAGCATTGTAAACTTTCCTTAATAAAATTTCTTAAAGCATCTTTTTATTCTATAGGACATAGGTGAAAGATCAGTGTCTCAAAATGCAATTAAGATGTATGTAGGAACCATTTTAACAATCTATTTTATTTTATCCAAACACGCTCGGTCTCTTTAATTCTTCAAGACACAGCACACTTGGCTCAAACATGCACGTAAAATTTAACCTACTTTTTTCACATATTATGCCAAAACAAACCATTAGCTCGAACATTTCTACCATTAAAAATCTAACATCCAAGCACTATTATTTTATTTCACTTTTTAAACTATAGACTGAAGGTGTTATCTGAGAATAATTTACATGAACTTCATAATTATTTCAACTCTTTAAACAAAAGAGAAAAATGTTAATAAAACTGAATTCAAACTACAATCGGCTATTTATTTTTACCGATAAACTATCACCCTGATCCTTGGGGTGTCATTTTACATGTTTGCTCTAATTGAAGAGCAATGCACTTTGCTTGAGGAGTGCATTGGAGTCCCTTTCTAGTAATAATGAAAGCGTAATGGTCACGTTGCATTGACTTGAATTTTCAGTCACCTTGAAGAGTAGCTCTGAGCCTTGTGTGCTCTTTAAGGTATGATCCCCAACACAGTCCAATTTATTAGGTTGGTATATGAAATTGAGTATCCATGTGAATTGCATAAATGACTAAGTTATGGATAATCTCAATTCTCAACCTTTTTTTTTCCCCTAAAAAATGTTAGATGGAAGCATAGTATATACGCTTTTAGGTCGGGTTTTATTATAAGATAAACTCAGCAACTTTGGTGGAAATAACCTACTTCATTACACGAATCAGAAAAAGAAAATGCTTGTCTTATCAATCAAATGGCAAAATCTAAAAAAAGGAAAAGAGGGTCCCGTATGGTGACCATGCACATCTACCCTTTGTAATGCCATTTAATGGTGGCATTCAATGTTGATTATAACACTTCAATAATAGCTGTTTATATCTATAAAATGAAGCTTATAGTCAGTTGAAACTGAGGATTAGTTAGTCCAAATTTAAGTAAACGGCTTAATTTTGATAGGGTTTTAACGTGGGCCTTTGGCCATTACCTTCTATGAATCGTCGTATTTATTTAATAAAAAAATTAAAATGTTTGCATTATCGCTTCTTTCATTTTTTATTTGTCATTGAAAAAATATTCTTATATAGTTGTCATTTTAAAAGTTTGAAATGACATCAATTTATATATTTCATTCAATTCTACCTTTATTATTATTTTTATACTAAACGGGGCCTAAAAAATAGAACAAAACTAAATTACAGTTTAAAGATACCAAAGACCTAAGACATCTAATCTTAACAAAGAAATTAAGGTAGAGGGAGCCTTATCAAAACAATTATTTTTCTCCATGGCGTCATCACATTAATTGGCTTATCTAAACCTAATGAATTCTACCTTTATTTTAATTACAGTTGTTCTATTCTATACCCCAGACCATAAAAATAAAAGAAAAATTATTAGATATAAAATACAAAAAACCTATTAACAGTTCTTTTTAAGTACTTTTTAGCTTTAAATAGAATTATAAAATAACCTTAATTTTAAATTTTAAATTCTTACTTTTAATTTTAATTTTAAAGTAACTTTTAAGATTTATTTTGTGATGAAAATAAAAAAATTATCTATCATATTTTGTTTTAGTTTATTGTTTAGTTAGTCAATACGATGTATAGAATAAGTTTGTCTTATTTATTTTATTTTATCATATTCATTAATTTAAAAGTTATATTAAGATCAAATTTAGTTAAAAATAAAAGAAATAAGATAGAACATTCTTTTTCTTTTCATTCCTAACTATACAACTTACTTATTTTAGCATAACCTATCATTATTATAGTTGTTATTATTATCAAAATTACCATGTGACTATTACCTACTTCAACTCTAAAATAAATTAAATTAAAAAAATAAACACTATCTAAATATATCCATAAACAAAATTCTTAAGATACCGGTTAACATGACTTTAGCCTTTAATATGGTACAACCAAAAAATCCAAACACAAAATACAACAGACTTTATTTATTTTGTTTTAAATATAACAATACAAAAATTTTAAAATCATATTTAATTTCCCATCCCCAGAGAAGGTGGGTGTACATTGTTTCATAATTGACTTTAAAAATAATTTAGAGCAAAACTAAAGTCGTAGCATTCAACAAAATTTTTAAAATTTGTTATTCAAATCTTTTATCTTATTCACTATCTCATGTTTTATCTCTTATTTCTTTTTCTTCTAAATCATTTACCATTTTTTTTCTTCATATTTTTCTCTACCTTCCCCCATCTGTAGGGCGCCATCATGCAATATTCTACAAAGAGTAGATGTACTTCTCGGGAGGAAATATTTAATTCAATCTTAGCTGAGTGTGGTACTCAGAAAGGAATATTTAATTCAACCTTAGCTGAGTAAGGTACTCGGGAAGGAATATTAAATTTAACTTTAGCCAAGTGTGGTACTTGGGAGGGAATATTAAATTCAACCTTAGCTGAGTGTGGTACTCATGAGGGAATATTTAATTCAACCTTAGCCAAGTGAGGTACTTGGGAGGAAATTTTGATTCAACCTTAACCAAGTGAGGTACTCAGGAGGAAATTTCGATTCAAACTTAGCCGAGAGGTACATAGGAGGGAATATTTAATTCAACCTTAGCCGAGTGTGATATTTAGGAAGGAATATTTAATTCAACATTGACCAAGTTTGGTACTTGGGAAGGAATATTTAATTCAACCTTAGCCGAGTAAGGTACTCGGAAGGGAATATTTAATTCAACTTTAGCCGAGTGTGGTACTCAGAAGGAAATATTTAATTCAACCTTAGCTGAGTGTGGTACTGGGGAGGGAATATTTAATTCAACCTTAGCCAAGTGAGGTACTTGGGAGGGAATTTTGATTCAACCTTAGCCAAGTGTGGTATTTGGAAAGGAATATTTAATTCAACCTTAGCCGAGTATGGTACTTGGGAGGGAATATTTAATTCAACCTTAGCCGAGTGGGGTACTCGGGAGGAAATAATAAGAGACTATTGACTTGTAAAGAAAGTTCTATCATTTTATTGATGAAGTGTCTCGTTAAAGACCTTATTTGAAAAACCTCTTTTCAAGTTCTAAAAAGAAGACAAAACTTGAGTGAGGAAAGAGTGCACTAAATTTACTAAGTACAATTTCTAGCCTTATAGGGAGTGTTCGTGCGCTTTGATATTGTCAATATCTCTGTTGCTAAAGCCTGCTCGAGTACCTTGGACTGGCTAGTATTTAACATTGTGTAACTTACAAACCTAGGTCTCCTCGGGAGATGTTCAGTTCGGATATTTTGGTCTTTGTTTCCGTGTTTGTTTCTTGCGTGTTCGTTCCCTTCAGATTCTCTTCAACTGGGCACTTGTTCCATCTAGACCTGGTTGTGGAACTCGGCCAGTTCTTCCATTTGCATGTACTTGATTGCAGATACTGTTGACAAATGGCCCTGGCCTAAGGGCTGTTGTGAGATGGTGCATCGCAACTGTCGGATCCAAGTTCTGGATAGAGAAGGCCATTTGCCCAAAACGTTCGATAAACGACTTGAGTGTTTCCTTCTTCTCCTGGCGAATATTAACCAAAGCCAACAAGGTCAGTTGATGAGGATGACTAGTGGTAAACTGTAAATTGAATCGTCTGGTGAGGGTTACAAACGAATCAATGGACGAAGGGGGTAGCCTGGTGAACCAATTGAGGGCTAATCCTCGAAGGGAAGTGGGGAAAATTTTGTACCATAAGGCCTCGTTTTCTGTATACAGACTAACTTGGGTTATGAAAATATCCAAGTGTTCTCCTGGATCAGTCGTTCCATTATACTTTTCTAACGTTAAACCTCTCTAGTTATCGGGTAAGTTGGCCTCCAGGATAGGCTGAATAAAAGGGCTTTGACCCGAGACATCATCTCGTTCAGTAGGGATTCCAACTTGTGGAGTTCCCTTAGGCTTTTCTTGTAATGTCGAGGACTCTCCCTACTCTTGGGCGAGGGGTGTAGTTTGAGAAGGTATGTGGGTTCTTATCTCTCCTCTTAAGTTGACATTTTCCCTTCTCAAAGCCGAAAGCTCAAGAACGTCTTTCTCCTTTTCCTTCTTCATTTCCATCATCTCTACTTTGAGTTGCCTCAACACTGCAAAGAGGCTTTCATCGCCACCTCCCTCTATTAGAACTTCAGGGATCAATTGACTAGATGTAGTATCCTCCTGCTGCCGAGAGGTTCCGCCTTGCTGAGTCTATCCGCCTTGCTGGCTTCTTGTAAGTACCATGATTACTCTTAAAAAATGAGACAAATCGTGCCCTATAGTGGGCGCCAAAATGTTCATGTTCGAGAAACACTAGTCTTCAAGTCTCTATTTGGATAGAGTGACGTCCTTCCGTATCTTGCTAATGTTACTTGACGTGAGGAGGGTACCTGCAAAAGGCACTCCGATGCTGAAGTCAGGATTCAGTTTTGAGCAATAAATGTTATTTTATATTGAAAAGTCCACACTTTACCTGTACTTCCTACCTTTCCTTTATAGTCATTGTTATGGGCTAATGAACTTGCTGAGTCAGCCTTGATTTTTGCCCTTTAATTAAAGTAAATAATATTCTGATTATTACCCTTGATTGAATTAATTACCTTCTAATCTGACAAAGTGTATTCGGCTATATTAGACCAAAAGGTACTCGGTTACCTTTTCCTAGAGATAAGACCAAACAGTGCCCTATCCAGTACACATCGTTTTTACATGACTTCTACTTTCAGATGATAAAGCAACAGAAACATATATTCTAAAAAATTTCTACTGATTTAATTCTCTAAATACTGAAAAATGCAAACAAATATGCTCCTAGTTTTATTTTTGTTTAATCAAATTTAAACTCACTTAAGCTTAACAAACAAATTCGTTTAAGTGAATTGTCTCAGACCAAGAAAAGTAGCAGCTCTCTTCAAGAAAAAAGTGGTGTCTCAGACAAAGCATTCTAAAAACACTTGACGTTCTTTGAGGCAAAAGCAAGCGCAGTCTGCAGCAAAAATTCATCACAAAAAATACAATTTTAAGACATACCTGTTAACTCAAGCGAATAAATTATCAAAACAAATGAATAATTTTGACACATACAATTTGTTGAATAAAGTTTTTCATTTAAGCATGTTTAAATTCGTTTAAATGAAAATAAAATTGAATATACAATTCCCACACAAGAATCCAGATCCAAAGACATTATTTTCTTCAATAACTAAGTCCATATTTGTATTCTTTGACTGTAAATATGATTATATATATATAACGTAGGTTATCTTGTTTCATGTGTACGGATTGAATAATGGTAACAAGCGCAGCTATCAAGCATGAGTGTCAGGCATTGAGTGCTAGAGTACTGCTAATTTCGTCAATCAATACAATGTGTTGTTGACATTACATATGTGTACAATTTTGTTGTTCGCATTTTTTTTAACATTAATTTTTCTGGAGAATCCGTTATATTTATATATAGACATTTGGGTCTCACATTCTGTTCTTTTATTTATTTATTTCCATGTATAAAGATATAGAGGAGGTTTGAGTATATAAAAATAATAACTTTTTATTTTAAAAATAACATTTATTACACTTTTAGTTACTAATTGAGGTTAAGATTTTTCCCATTTAAATTCTATAAATTTTGGAAAAGTTTTATTTAGTGGTGTTAATTTTGGGATCTAATATAGAAAAGACTTATTCAAATTAAAACTGAAAATGTTTTCTGGGGAAACCGTGCCTTTGAGACAAGGTAACAATTCCAGCAAGTGCAAAATCTTGAAAAAGAAGCAGCAGCAGCAAAAGCTTTTTCTACCTTCGTATATCTCTCTGAGGCATCTCTACATGCCTTTTATATTTGATAGAGAAATGACAAGTGGGAAAGAAACCATAGTCCTTTTCAAGAATCGTGCTATGCTTAATCTTGGGGATTCAGCCTGCAATTTTTAGGATTTCAAGGAGAGGACAATTTAATTATTCTATTTTATACACTGATATTAAAAGCTTAACTTATAAAACAGAGTCTAATAGAGATAGAGCTGTCACGGGATTTCTGAGCTCTGTGCTTCAATTTTTAAGTTGACAATGCTATGATTTTGGCCTCTAGTCTAGTTATAAATTGCACAGTAACACCTGCCACTGGCTACCACTTGGGAATATTCTTCTCCTTTTTCTGAGTGTTGACAAATGCCTCTACCCTTTTACATTTTGAAAAATTTTGTCCCCTTTTTATTCAGGTTTCAGAATATGCTGCTATGACTAGTACCTGCCTCATATCATATGCACCCAAGAATCTTTCTCTTTATTTCTTTTTCATTGCATTCCACAAGATAAAATAATACAAGTTGACCACCTATATCTCCTGATTATTCGTAAGACGTAGATTATTTTTCATTATTTCACAATTGGCAACTTGCAAGCAAAATTTGGCACGAATATGCCTTATCTGTATCCATTTTCAATTGTTGAATTTGTACTAATTTTATCATATATATATATATATATATGTATATAATAACGTAATACTTTTGGAATGAGTTGCATTCTTTTTGGCACAAGTCCAGTTTTGGCCCGTATAATCCTGAATAATCTCTTTTTATCAAACCAAACAAATTCTACATAGGATTTGACGAAAGATAAAAACCAAAAAACAAGAAGTCCAGGAAATACTTGTTTCAACCTGTGACCCGTTCTTGGACCACATACTTTTCTTAGTACATGAGACACTGGATGAGTTGTAGGACTGTAGGGAATCTTATATTAGGACACAACTAATAAAAAAAGCGAAGCCAAGTAGATAGTTGTATAAAACTGAGTAAACTAGTAAAATTTCTTGTACAATTCTTTAATGTGTGTCTGAGGGTATATAATAAAAAATCAATAAATAGTATTTTTTTCTTAAATTATAACATTTAATATTATGTATATTACTTTTAGTAAAAACTAACTATATATAAGCTTTTATTCTCTGTGAATTTAAACATACAAAACATAAAACTTTCACAAAATCGTCCCTATCTCTTCTATTATGGTTTGAACCGATCAAATATAAAAGAGAGGAAAGTAATTTAGGTTTTCCTTAAATGACAAGATTGGAGACAGCAGCTGGGGCAAAAGGGCACGCTGGTGGGAAGGTGTGGGTGCCATGCGTTTTTGTAACATAGTACTGGTATAGCATCAGCCATCCTAAAAGATGTGTATGAATTCATTTAGAAAAGGCAAATTGAACATGCTCTCAATTTAGCTTTTGTTATGTGGTTTTAGGAAATTAAAATCGTGGAATAGAATACGGTTAGGCTAAGGAAAAGCCATCATTCGTGTGGCCATATGTTGAGACATGTGAATCACAAATCCAATCCATTCATTCATCATTCATTATGATTTAATGGGAGCCAGCAGATCATTACAAGAGGGAGACATGAAAGAGAGGATTGAACTGTTTACCCTCTTTTGGGGTTATGGTGGGTCCTCGTTCCATACATAGTGTACAGATGGTGCAGCAACACAGGCCCACAGCTATGGCCACCTTTGTACCCTCTCAGACAGACTCTGACAATGTTACGTGACCATAAATATACATACACTCACCGTTGAGATGTTGATGATTGAGTACTCAAAATCGAGTGTGCATTACTAATTTATTCTACTGTCAGAGCTGAATTAGATTACACACTTATTGCAATGTAGCTTGTTACAGTGTATCAATCCACTTTTGCTGTTCTTCTCTTTCAACCTTTTTCTGGGTAGCCAATTGCAAGACCTGAATTTCCTTTTCTGGGTTAGGTTTTAGTTTGAGATTTTTTGCTGTGGCATCTGTAGACATCACACTAACAAACTTCTGACCTATCCAAACTTCAGCTAGTCAATTCTTATTTGCCATAGAGCAAAATTATTCTTTTTCAGGGGAAGAAAAAGGGGAAAAGACATCCAGTGTTCTATCATCGGATAGTCTTGTGAAACATAAACAATCCAATTTCATGATATTGCACACTGGCATAATCATTTATAACCTGTGTAATTCTTTATATTCTCAGTTTAAGCAGTTGCATAAGTAATTAATGTGTTACAGATTCGTTAATAAAATAGCTGCAAATTGAAACAATTTTTTAGTAGAATTTAATAAATTAGGTAAGTAGGGCCATGCGTTGATAATCGAATACAACAATAATAGAGTTACAATATTAAAAAAACAAAGCGGAAAGCCATATCAGGGATTCAACCATTCACGCCCTGCCTGTCAAATCAACCACCGCATCCTCCACAAGTTCTTCTAGCAACTTGCCCTCTACATCCTTCACCAAAATATCCATCTCTAATCCCATAAGCTCAACCCAACCTTTCCCCACAACCTCTTTTCTGACAACACTCTCCACCACCAGGCTGTTACTGTCCCCACAATTCCTCCAAGTAGACCTCATCGCACTGGATATTAACTCCTCCATCTGGGCCACAATAAGGTCCACCAATGGGGGAGGTGCACCCTCTGGGACTTGGAGCCTGCTGTGGCCCCCACTCCACAACCTGCACATTAAGTAATTCTCTGAGCCGTAACCAGTAATTTCTATTAGTGCAACATTGACACAATCGAATACAAGCTTCTGATTAGATCTCCTCTGCCTTCGTTTTGCCTCATGGAGATGCTGAGGCTCCTTGTCATTAAGATTGGCATATTTGTCCCTCAACGATGGATCCAATGGACTTTCAAGGGAATGCCATCTAGAGTAAAACGAGTCAGATTGCACTTGATCATCAATTCCAGCTGCTGATAGTAGTTTCTCAACGAAGACAAGCCAGTCTTGATCCTCTACCTTGGTGTCTAAGGAAACCAATGAGGGATTTAATGGGTATGGACTTGCTACCTCTGCACAAGAAGCATCCCATGAGAGGGTCCGTGCTATTGATTCTATAGGTGGTGATTTGTCAATTAAATTAGACTTCAGAGGCACCCGTGATCCTACAGAAAAGAACTTGCGGTCAGGTAATAAAACAGAAATAAAGAAGACAAGGAATATACAAAAAGAACTTCCTGAAATAGCAGCCATAGGAATAGACTGAAAGCAAGGGCTAAGCATTACCCAGCTGACCACCCTTCGCACAATCCAAGGAATCATGAGCAGCATTATCATCTTCAAATGGAGGTTCTAGAACTGAGATTGGACTAGGCTGATCCTGGTTTTCACTAGAAACCCTGGGTACTGCAGGCTTTGACACAGTCAATCCAGGCTGTAAAAGCAAACACAACTGTCTTAGAATATTCCAGTCTACTTATTTAGCATTTTTTAGTATGAACATAAGATTTTACTTGTATGGTACTAGGACACACGAAATTCAGTTTATCATTCCATAATCTACAATAACATGAAATCAAAGAAGTTGTACTGTGCTGTACTATTACTAGGTCTATGCTGACTAAGAAAAGCTAGTCTTATTATTACTTATCAAGTAGCAACTGGGACCCAATGATGCTCATAACCAGATAAAGTTTTCATTTGTTTCATTCCAGTAGTAACAGAAAATCCCAAACAATTTGTCAAACCGGACACAACATCATCAAATTTCAATGGACTAATTTCATTTGTTAGGTAGAGAAGGCATAGACTACAGTTAAAGACAGTTCTTATCATGTTACTTGGCAAGATGCTAGCACAGATTAAAAAAAAAAAAAGCCAGCAGTACAACCCAACAAAATACTTCAAAGTTTAAAGAAGCAATACATACTCAATACTGATTTTCCCTTCTGTATATTTTTTTTCTTGTCCATTCTTCTTCCCCTTCTTTTGCAAGGGGAAAAGGAGGTAAGGGACCAAGGTGTGAAATTTAGAAGGCATTAATGAGTGACCTCAAACCAATAAATAGAAAGAAAAATTACATAATACATCACAAAAAGGAGATCAAAATATTCAGAATAATAGAAGCTATTACCTCTAGAGGTATAACACCTTGTCCATTAGGGATAGAATCTGATAAAATTTTGCCCGATGATTCATATGGAGCTGGAAGAGAACACTCTCCAAATGATCCACTGTTAAAGCTTAGAGACACATCATCCCTAAGGATTCCAGGCGAATTTACTGGAGATGCTGATGTTTCAGCGATGGTATATTGGGATTCATCTTTAGATTGAGATAGACAAGATTTTTCCTTGGTTGGTTTCTTATTCCTTGAGAATAAGAAACTTGTAACTTTTCCTTTAAATGATGATTTCATACTCTTTGACTTTGTCAGCTCCTTGGACCCACATGCTTTGCCAGCATCATTATCACAAACTTCAACATTGAGCCCATTTTCATAGACAGTAGAAGCAGCAGGAACAGATTTTGACCTGGGGAGATTTTTAGGAGAACCATCCACACATATTTCATCATTGAAATTTCGACTGCAAGACACAGATTCGCTTGGTTCCTGTTCTTTATGTATACCCTCAACCTCAGTTATTACAGATTTCTTTATATCTGAAAGAGCAAGCATCTCACCCAAGGTAGAGCTTCTCCGCAAATGTCTTTGCTCTTGAGGACCCTTATTTGATGCCATCATGGCCCATCTTTCAGAAAGTCGTTTCTTGGCTTCTCTGCATACTGATGATTCAGGAGAACCAGATGCACGACTGAAGGATGATGAAGAAAAAGGACTGCCACAGCGATTGATATAATCCCAAGAATGCCTTGGAGATGGTGACGTTACTTCCAAATCACTAAAATTCCCTGTAGTATACTCATGATCTGATTTGTTGAATGAACTCTCATCACCAACATAGCCATTGGAAAATACTGAAGAATACAATGTTTCGTCTCTTTGATGGCTCATCAGATTTCCATGCATTTGCTTTGTAATTTCATTTGCCGCTTTTCTTGATTGCAGCACTTCATCATCTTCAGGTTCCTGGTAGAAATTTCCACTTTGCAGATTTTGAGGTGATGACATTGTTGGTGAAACCACAGCCTTAATCTCATGTGTCTTCCCAGGGCTACTAGGCTTCAATACCACTATTCGAGTAGGTTGAACTGGAAATTCATCAAGTTTCTGACTAGCTGGAGAATATCCAGGACTGCATTTCTCCCATGCAGCACCAACATTTGCTGGTTTCTTAATCTGTTTGTCATTTTTCTTCCCCTTTCCACCAGGTTTTTCATTGTCAACCATCTTTGAAGGTTTAAGAACAGTAATACGCTTTGTTTCTGCTAGTGGAGTAGGCTGAAGTTCATAAAGATTTTGAGAATCCAATAACCTGATTAATAGATCATTATTGGAACTTAAAACTTCCAAGGCATCATCAAACTCCTTGGACTGCCTAAGTCTCTCATCTGTTGAAAGACGTTTAGCTTCCATGAACTTCTGGCGAATGAGTGCCATTTTCTTCCCATTAACATCTTCAGTCGACTTTTCTCTCTCTGGTGTCTTGTCTCTTACATTGCTTGTTCTCTGTGATTGCAACCATATTTCATATATATCCTTGTAAGCAATCTGTTCTGTGCTCAGATGAACTTCATGAAGCATTTCCTTGTCCATAAACCTATCTTGCAGTTGCCAGTGTTTGAATGGTGACCCTGAATGACCACAAATATGTTGAGAATAATCTTCTCTATGGCTTCTGTCCACAGATAAATGAGGTTCGCCCTGTGGAAGGGCTTCAAGGCCCATTAGTTTTGCTACTAAATTTGGTGGATTGGAATTGGAAACAACTTCTTTGGACATTTCTTGGTCTATGAGCATCTTGATGGGTGTTCCATTTACTTTCTTATTTGAAGAAGCTCTCATTGAGTCGGAAACAATCTACCAAGTCCATGAAAACGGAAAATAAATAACTAAATAAAGGCAACTACAGCAAAGCATACAAAAATCAAAAATAAAAGGAGCACCCCACGTGACATCACAATTAGCTTGAATTTCACCCAATTAGCTTGAATGACAATAAATAATAATCCCCCCTTCCAAATTACCAGCTTATCCTCTATCTGACCACCAAACGGAGGACTCATGATGCGAGCAACATCGGACTGACTTCTTGAAAGTGAAGATGCTGCAATTCAAGTAAAATTTAGTGAGAACGAGATTGGAAAATAAAATGGCATAAACTGTCAACAGTAGAAATCATAAGTATAATTATTCCAGGCAACTTAGAAATAGAAAAAAGCTTTCGGCAATTTAGCAAAACCTCCAGCTGGGTTTTCATGATGCCCAGGATATATAAAAACCAGACAGATCACCAAGAGTTATGTGTTAATCCAGAAATCAATCAACAAAAACGCAAAGGAAATAAACTCCAAAAACTACAAGGCAAAAAGGGAACCACTACCAAACTACAAATTACACACTTTTCTAAGTTTCCTCTTAGTCATCACCTCAACCCAGCACTTCACCAAACCCCAAAATCAACAAGAGAAAACCACAAACTCATTTTAAGATAGCTATCAGTTACAGTTCCAAATACAGTGTCAACATGGTTTAAGCAAGATCATTCAGAAAGACTAGTACCAAGCAAAGCAATGCTTTTTATTTTGGGAGCCGGGGGGATTGTTAAAAGGGAGAAACATTCCAGGGCAACGTGAAAAATCAAGTGTGTAGACGAAGAGAGAAAGAGGGAGAAATCACCATCACGATGTGGCTTGTCCGTAAGAAGCTTGTTTCCGTTTACACCACCAGTCAAATCAAAGAGGTTCACCATTCTTCCCAAGCATCCTGGAAAAGGTTTCTCAACATTGTGAACCCTTCTATTTTGCACCCCATTCATTTCAACAGCTGCACATACACATCACCATCATTAATCCCCACACACAACAAGTACACAACATCAGGGTAAGTTGGGGAGATCTGTAAGCTGAAGAACATTTAGACAAATCCATTAAAATAAGAAGAACCAATCAACACGAGTACAGAAAAACACAAGATCCAAACACTAACGCAATGAACACAAGGAATACTTTACGTATACCTAGAAAACACAAGAACAAGCACTATAGACCTGATGTAGTGTAATCTTGCAATGAATATCAGTAAACAGAAACACGAACATAAGAGAGTAAGCAGAGAACACAGACACAACTTTCGCGAAGCACGAGAAAACAAATTGTTCAAATACAGGAGCGCATTCACATGAAAAATCAAATCAACAAACACGCGTCGGCAAATGAAAATAAAAACCGTTGGTTTTGGTTCAGTTCAGATTTGGAAAGAAACGCAGAGTGATGAGAAGGTTATATTGTTGACAGTAATTGCCCCCGAAAATGCGAAAGGACATTCTTCCCGAATCCCAAACAGCGAAAAGGAAGAAAATCACGAAAGCGGAATCTTCTCGGTCGGAAAATTTGGCTGAGGCGAAAAAGCTGCGAGAGAGAAAAGCAAATCTAGAAAGAGAAAAAGCAGAGGATTCCAGAACAGCGAGATCGAGGCGAAGCCAAAAAGGATAGTTGCTGAAAAGCTCACACAACCAAAAAAAGTAAGAGAGCTAACCTGGCGCGACGACCGGTGGCCGGCGACCGTGGCATTCCCGGCGGAGGAAGTGCCGGAAGCGACGGCGACACGGAAAGTAGAGAGAGAGTGTGAGAGAGAGAGAGAGAGTTGTTTGTGTGGTTAGCTGTGTGTGACTTCCACCGACTCTCTTTGTCGGACTTGAGAGCCTTTCTTCCTAACTACGATTCATATATCGCTTTTTGATTACGAGTAAACACACTCTCCCCCTCTTCGCCTCTGCTTAATTAATTATTATTAATCAATATTTAACCATTTCTCTTTTTCTTTTATATATACACTATTTCATTTTTTATGATAATAAATTATCTTGAAACTATCTCCTTATTAGGAGTTTATTTATTCAATAAAATAATAAAAACAAGTCGGGAAAAACAATGAAAATAAAAGGTTAAAAAAATTGTATTTTGATTTATATGGTATGCGTTTTTCTGCACGATTTGCTTCCATTAGGTTCCATATTCTGTTGTTGTACGATTGTACCATGTTATCATCACTCTTGCAAGTAAAACATTTAAGACTTGGTTCTTCTTAAACTCAGGACAGAATTTTAAAGAATAAAATATATTTTAATTGTTAATAAGAAATTATAAATAACAAACTTATGTTGTGAGGTATAATGCTTAATTAATACAGCAACCATTTAAGAACGCGTTTTTAATAATGACATGATCATAAAATCGTGCTAGAACACTGAATATAAATATTGTTTAAAACAATTAAAAACTTAGTAAAAAATAAATAATGTGTACGAGGCTTTTATTTACAGTATGAATGTCTGTTATGATAATTAATACGAATAGAAAAATTAGGATAATTGATTGTGCTGTGAAATAGCTGGAGAATATATACACCAATGAATATTTTAACAAGTTAGCTTTGAGGGGAGAAAGAAGACATTGGACTTAACAAATGGCACCTGCTGCAGTAACCTAACGGGGAAGTTTCGCCATTGTTGTGACTTGGATGTGGACTCGACTATAACGCGCTTTCAATAAAACATTATAAAAATCTACTTTTAAAATTTAAATTCACTTTACGATTTATTTCAATTTCATAATATTTATTTATACTCATATAATGGTACCTGTGACAGAGGTTTTTGGTCGAACAAATTCGCGGGTAGTTAAAATCTGAATAACATTGGTAGATGTTGGGGATGCTAGCGACCTACCACCAACTACTGTGACCTTTTTCATAACAATGAAGTGCAGTACTTGGTATTATTGCTTCAACTACCCTCTTTCTCTTCAAAGTTCTCAATCACTATAACTGTAAAACCTTAACACTGCAAAAATAAAAAGCAAGATCTATTAATCACAGCTACAATTTTAATTACTGATATAACAAAGTTTCTTGAACAGTAAAGGCAAAATGTATTTATCGCTGCCTAACATTCTGATACTTTAGGCCATTTTATTACATGAATCATTATTTTGGATGAGGTTAAGTAATCAAGCAAGCCTGCCTTTAAGAGTCATAAAAGAATGTCATGAATTGAGAAATTTTTTTATGATTTTGAATCACTGTGGTTTCTTAAATTAAATTGATTTTGTGTGTGTTGAGTGTTACATAGAAGGTATAGATTAAAAGGTGACAAGAGGGGGATACAAAGAAGAAAGCAGAGCCCTAAATCTAATATTGTTAAGTTTGACTTAGCAATGATTAATTTGTTTGATGTTACCTCTAATACGCCAAAACCTAAACAAAACATAGCCGTTAATCGGGGGAGAAAATCTTTGAATGGGCCACAAAACACACATCGCTTTCTTATGTCTGTGACGTATAAGCTGCACATGCAACACTGATTAAATATAATACCAATCCTCTAATTAAATAAATACAATAATCTTAACTTATGGATGAATTCATATCGTAATAAACTTAGGCAACTTAGGAGATTAATTTGAACAAGATCTTACAGAATTTTAACATATCCCATGTAATCCTCTTGCAATCTCTTTTTCCTACAACTTTTTAAAGCTTCTCACGTCATTTTTATCCTCACGGACAGCAAAAATAACCTAAGTGAAAATAATAATAATACAATTTTAATAGATAATCTGCTAGAAATAAAGAAGGAGATGAAATTTAAAAATAGGATAAATAATAACCCTGAAAATCTGAACATAAATATAAAAAAATATGATAGAATTATGTAAATAATTTCTTTTACATAATATAAAAATATGAAAAAAAGTCTTAGCCCGAATGAAAATATTGGTGGGGGAATGGGCTTGCAAATAGGGACGGTGTCTTTTTGTGAAAAAGTACTAATAACGACAAGGGAAGTTAATTATGATCCATTAACGGTAATAATCACCTTTCGATCTTTTTTCTAAACACTTTGTTTTAAACCAATTTGGATGAAATAACGTGGTCTAAGATTGATGAACTATTTCGACCAAATTCAAGGGTTGAACATGAAAAAGAACATTTAGTCATCATGGTTACAATACAAAGTAAGAAATTAAATACACTTGAGAAGGAAATTCACATCTAAGTGGAAGCAAGCTAAAATCTATAAAAGTAAACGAGATAGTGATGATAGCGACATGCATGCAACGTCTCAATTAATTAATGGATTTTTCCTCTAATATTTGTGGTTATCATAAATAAATGCGCCTTAATCAAAACCAATGTCATGTCCGAAAACGTTTGATTATAGCCGTGGAAAAGTAGCATTTCAACATCTTTTTCAGATATCATCAAGCCCTTAATTATTTTTTATGGGTATTGGATTAATGGATTTAAGATTTAAAAAGTGTTTATTAGTAATTATTAAACTGAAGTTTGAAATTTGTATGCGTTTTTTTAATGATGGAGGGAGATATATAAACCAATGTCATAACTTGGGCATAAATTTGAAATCTATCAACCTTGGCTAAAGTGATAGGATTGGATAACAAGAAAATATGTAAATGAAGAACTAGGGTACCAAAAAAAAAAAAAGATCGATTTTAAATGTTAGCATTTTCTTTTTTATTTTTAAGTGAGTTTGGGCATAAATTTGAGTTTTCCTTATCAAAATAAGTTTTAGAATTTTTCTTCTAATTTATTCTTTCTTTCAGTGAGCTGTGACTTTTTATGTCGAATATCTTACCTTTTAATATTTAATTTATAAAAAAAATAAATTATACTTACTTTTACATTATTTAATAAATTTTTATTAAATAATTGTATCTTTAAATTAATATTTGGATTATAAATTTTTATCACATAAAACGTGTTTATAAAAATTTAGATGAATCAAAATTTATTTCACACCTTATTCGTATAAATAAAACTTAACTTTATATATATATATATATATATGAAAAAAAATTATTTGATTATATTTTAAAATTTATTTAAATTAAAGTAATATATAATTTTTATTTATATAATTTACATTAATATAATTTAATTCTTTTTTATTTATATTTTTTAAATATTTAATTTAATATTAATTAAATTTTAATTTTATATATTATATTAAATTAATTGACACAAAGATTGTATACTTTTTTCACACGAATTGCTATCCTATCATAAACTTTCGTATTTTTAAAATTTTATTTTAAAACATAAAAAGTATTCATTATTTATGATGAAAATATCTTCGATTATATATATATATATATATATATATATATATATATATTAAAATACATAAGTTCATTATTTAATAATAATAAATAATAATAATAATAAATTTATATATTTTTAATGTTATTCAAGTTAAGAAAACATATGCGTACAATAACTTAGCTTAGACCTTTCAACTAAAATCTAATATTCTAGCTTAATTGATTTAATTTGCTGGCAGTTGGAGACTTAATTGAACGTGAATGATATTTCACTTAAATTTTAAATCATTGTTCTACACCAAGTTAACGCTTCTAAAATTTTGGTTAAGTTAGCACTTAACCGTCAAAATTAATTTACCTGATCGATTTGGTTTAGATTACTTTTAAAAATTAAGATTTAATTATATTTTTATTTGTTATTATAAATTAATATTAAAATAGTCTATTATTATGATTTTTTAATAAAATTACACTGTTAATATAGATTTTGTTAATATATTACATTAGCAAGTAATTTTGTAATAATAGGATGTATTATGCTAATAATAATAATAATAATAATAATAATATATGGTATCAATACTTCAAATATCGTACAATGCATTATTTGTTCATATAAACTTTTTGGTCAGATTAACATAATTTATTAAAAACTATAAAAATATAAAAAAATATTAGATTAAGAACACGATTAACATAAGTTTTATAATTTTCAATAAATTTTAACAAATAATAAAGAAAATATTCCAAAAAAAATGTTATTAGTATTTCTAACGTAAGAACTTAAAATATTTATTGGAGGCTTGAGAGTGATATGTATATTTATCAAGTTTGGATTGAGACAATGTACTGTGGGCGAGTGATGAGTGTGAGTTGACTCGGAGATTTACACGTAGATGAGTTGTAATAACATTATCCAAAGGATTGGGATATGGTGCATAGGTGGCAGCACCGTAATGGAGGAAACGATTGATACGCAGTTCTGGAGATGAGATATCATAATTCTCCAAAATAAACAATCAGACATAGTTCATTCTTGTCTTTTGTCTCAGCTATTAATTTTTTTTTGCCACACTTTAGATTACCATAATAGAAAGAGAGATAGAAGGAGTGATGGCTAGTTGCAACATGGCATCAGCTGCTTCTGGGTTTGTGTTGTCACCTAATGTAACAAGCAGCACAAATTCAGCATCAAGGATCACTATGCTCATGATGTACCCTCCTAAGAACAACACTTGTAGGCTTGTTGTGAGAGCAGCAGAAGAGGGTGCAGAAGGAGCAGTTACACCTGCAATAGCCACTCCCCCACCTGAAGCTGAATCAGCTACCAAACCCAAGCCTCCACCAATTGGCCCCAAAAGAGGTGCCAAGGTGACTTACACTCTACTTCTCCCTTCTATCTTAGTTTGGAATCATCCTTTGTACCATAGTCCTTTTTGGGTCAATTTGAGTCACAATATACAATTTTTTTATTTTGGATGCATTTAGGTTTAAGATTTTTTTAGTAAATTTTTTATTATGGAAGGGTTTACAGTGTAAATTTGATTATAAATTTTACTGAAATAACATGAACAAAAATCATTTTATAAATTCTTCTAAACATATCTTTTAGACTTATTACTGAGGCTTATCACTTTATTATAAATATTTTTTAATTTATCTCAATAAATTTAAGAAAAACATTCAGCAACGATAAAATTGGACAACAAAAAGTTGTCTTTGATTTTGGTGTTATTTAGACTTAAGGAGGAGAGAGATAAAATGAAAAAAAGAGAGAAGTATTGTGTTTCTTAAACGTGAGCTTGATCCATAATTAGCAAGAGATAAGTGGGCTTTAAGTTTGAGTGACAGTGACAAAAAAAAAAATTTGAGGAGTCCGTCTGTTTAAAATGTTTTAGACAATTTATATTCATAATTCTCTTACTTATATATTTTTGGGTTTGTTGTTAACTTAATAATGCTAGACTTTGTTATTTTAATAAAAAGAAAGAAAATTAAAAATTAAAAAAATGTAATGAGTGATGTGATAAGAAAAGAAGAGTGAAATAAAAAGAAAAAATAGAGTAAAAATAAGATGTAAAAGAAAGAATGTGTAAATTGTTGTTATATGTGGCAAAATTTTGACAGCAGTTAACTCAATTCCATGCATCACACTAGGACAGTGAACTCATGCAATTTGGTTTGAATCTTCTACTCCAAGCAAAATAGTTGGAACTTGAAATGTGTAGTTAACTACCAGTTTAACACGAAGCTTGTCTCCTTCTAAGTTTTTGTTTGTTGCACTTGTCAGGTTAAGATTCTTAGGAAGGAGTCCTATTGGTTCAATGGTATTGGTTCTGTCGTTGCTGTTGATCAGGTTAGTTTTTCACTTACCTTAGGCAACCCTCCTTAATTTTATTTCTTGTTTCATTGATTTTTCTTTGTTGTGTTGTGCAGGACCCTAAGACTCGGTACCCAGTTGTGGTTCGATTCAACAAAGTTAATTATGCTAATGTATCCACAAACAATTATGCTTTGGATGAGATTGAGGAACTCAAATGAGTCATTTATTTTAGTTGTAATTTGACTGTCGTCATGCATTTCCTGTCACAAGCCTAAGGGTTTTCTTCTCATATAGAAGAATGTGTATCATATTTTCTATGATATCTACCCCTTCATCTCTATACACAACATTCTATATGTGCAATTGCTCATACACATAGCAAATTGAGACTTCCCCTACTTATAATTGAAATAAGTAATTGAGCATATTAATATAATCATTTTAAGGCCACTCAATGTTAGGCTATTACCAAGAGAATAAAAATAAAATGAATCACGTTAAAAAAAAACGAAATGCTCCTCACTCTTCTCAAGAGAATGAAGCAGAAAATCAGCTTTTTAGGTGATTTGAGAGAAATAGAATGCAAAGGTGAAATTAACAAAATGGTGAGGAAAGAATATGTGATTCAAACACGGCTTATATAGATTAGAGAGTAGTAATTAATCATTAATCAATCATTTGTGAATGTAACTAATCACTAAAAATTCCTGCAATGAAAAATACAGCCAAATGAAAATTATATCGATTACCGAAAAATTCTTACATAGAGTAAGAAAAAAGTTATTGTTCTGCGCGCAAGAGACAAAATAGCTGAGTTTAATAAATTAACAATATACTAAACTAAATTAATGAGGTGGCTTGTCATATATGAGACACATTTAAAACAAAACAAAAAAAAGATAAGTTAAGCAACTTTACGTGAAATTAGTATCAAAGATGCTTTTAAACAGAAAATAGCTCCAATGTGTATGAATCCTACCCAAAAATTCAAGAAAACAGAATCCAATGCAAGAAAAAAGAGGTATAGGTAACTTATGGGATCTATGTTGTGTATTTTTAGAGTTATTGGAGTAGATATTTGCTTGAGTTGTATACAAAATGAATAATAAAGTGATATGTCATAGTAAACTTCATAAAAAGTTATTAATCATTAAGCCATGCAACTCTAATAGATTTAATGGCATAATCATGATTAAACTGTAATCAAATTTATGACAATTAAATATATATATATATATATAATATTTTTTATTTTATTCAATAATAAATTAATATACAATATTAAAAAATAAGGCATTAAATTTTGAACTAATATAAAATATTTATATTATGTGCTTTATAACAAAAGAATTAATAATAAAAGGATAAATGTTAAAAATTCATGTATATAAATCTTTATAACTTCTCATTGAATTTTTATTTAGTTAAAAATTAAATTTAGAAATAGAAAGTTCATTTTTTAACAAAATTAAAATTCTACCAATTGAATTTTGACCAGTTTTTATTGATTATAGATCAGTTCGACCAATTATAAGTAAATTCTCTCCAATTTTAAGACCACTTAATTTTTGGGACAAGTAAATCAGACAAGTGAGTAATTCTCAACTTAACTAATACGATCCAATTTTTAAAACAACAAATATTAAGATAATCATAAGTTGGATTAGGCTTGACCGAGTTAAGAGTTACACTTTTTAAATCAATTCAACATAGATTAATTGTGTGATTTAGTTAACTTATTGACAAAACAAACATTGTAAAAAGGATTAATCAAGAGAATCCCCTTCTGTTTTGTATTGATTATCATACATGTATATATACAATAAAGCTTTGCGTCATTTCCTAAAATAACTAGCTAAGATGGTGCCAGCAATCAAATATTTACAGCTAATTTACGATCAATTTGAGATACTACAGCTGGTCAAATATTCTAAATTAAGATACACCGCTTAATACATTGTTCTTTTAAATTAGTCAGTTCTGATTTGATCAAATTTGTTTCTTTTAAAAATGGAAAAACCCAATGTCAAATAAAGTTTAGCTAGTTGAACCAAAATCGACCTAACTACTCAACAAGACCCCCCTCCCCCTCTTTTTTTATGAATTACAAGGGTTAGAATAGCCAAATCATTATGCATATCAAATCAGATCCATAATTACCCTAAGTAAGTTTTCTTTTTCTTTGTTTTTCGGTCAACTCATAGTAAGTTTATCACATGTGCTTGGATTGAATGTTTATCGTAGCTGGGCCACTTTCTTCATCACATGCCATTATCTTTATGAAGGATATAGAGATGACAAAATGGGAAGAAGCTGAATGATGGATGAATAATTGTCAAAAGACTCTAAATAAAACAAAATTATTATTTGGTATCACTCTAATTCACCAATATTAGTTCTGAAAAGAAAAAGAAAAGACAAAAAATTGATAAAATTCAAATAAACCTTGTCATGATTTAAGCGATTGTTGGATAGCAATAGAAGTCTCTATTTCATCCAAATGTTAATAATATCATTCAATAATATTACTTGGTTTTTATATTGGCCCAGATAATTATTTATCTTAAAGATACATAGGAAAATGCAAAAAAAAAGAAAAACCTTTTTCATGTTTGGACCCAAGATACAGAGCTTGGGTTAAAAATAGCTTGTATGAGCCCATATAATAGGCGTTCAAACCTTAATCTGAGTTCAGTCCACTTTTTGGTCAACTTTTACCCAATAAACAAAGAGTTCAGTCCACTTTTACTTAGCCAGGTTTAGTCCAATCAAAATTTGTGATAATGGCTTGAAATCAGGTTGGGTTAACATGATTTAGTATGTTTATTTAAGCTTTTGAAAAAATAGAATTAAAAAGTCACTCTGAGTACTTTCTAAAAAATTGAAAGTATAGCTGTATTTTAAAATAAAAGCTGCTTTTTATATATGTAACCAAGTGAAAAAAACTTACTTTGCATATAGTTTCTAATAAATAGATAACTTCTTACATAATTTTTAAAAGAACTAATGCTTATTGGTATGAAACATACCACAGAAATACGGCACGAAATACACATGGTATGGTTTTTGTCAAACTACTTAGTTTTTTTATTTTATAAATTCTACGTTCATAAAAAAAAGCACAATCAAACGGGACCTATTTTCTTACTACATATTAACAACTGTTCAATTACTTATTTCTTCCTAAAAAATAAACATTAAAAATCTTCCCATGACTAGAAAATAATGTTAGGAGTTAGAACCTCATAATGAGTGAGATATGATCATAATATTGGAAGCAATCCTCGGCAGGGGAAGATGATATATAAGTCAATGTAGTCCTTTTTTGACAAAAATTTCAAACAAGCGTTTCACACATCTATTATTAGTTTGTTCTATTGGAAATTTCTCACAATCACACTAATGTTGGCCCTAGTAAAATTAATTTGATTGTCCACCGATGAAATTAACAACTTGCTTCCCCTTATAGTATGAACAATCAGCTGAGTCTATTTTCGGTCAACGTTAACGCGTCTATTATTAGTTATATCAGTTCTATTAGAATTTCCTCGCAAAATCCCATTAATGGTGGCCCAACTTGCTTTCCCATAATGGACAAAGAAACTAAGTTTATTTTTTATCAACAGCAGTATGCGACTAGCTCAATAGATATTTAAGATACGTATTATGATATTATTATCAATTGCTTTTTGAAATTCACCTTTTCTTATTCTCATTAACAACCCCCTCTTTTTCTTTAAAGAATTTTGTAATTTTCAACGCTGAATTATAGATCGATGAAGTTCTTCAACACACGTAGTTTATGTGGATGGGACCTGTATTATAGTTTTATACCATAAAACAATTTATATTTATTATGAGCTTTGGATCCGTTGGATGTTGGACCCCTGCTGCTGGTGGACTTCAATACTTGCTGTTAGCTAGGGAATGCTTTAGGCATCATTTTTGTTCGTTTGTCTGTAGTTTCATTTCATTCCGTATATAACCAAAAGTATAAAAATGAAACCTTTATAAGCTTCAGTTAATTAGTGTTTTATACTTGGCGTTGATGATATATCCATCATTTTGGATCTTTTTATGTCCTTGGTGCATGTTAAAATATATATCTTAGATATTTATGGCTGCATATCATGTATATTCCATAGAATTAATGAGGAGCAACCTTGTAATTTAATTTAGGATTGTATATCAGTATAATTAAGATTAAAAATCAATCTAATTAACTCTGCTGTATGTAGAAACATTGTGTGTGGGCTTTGTATACTCACATTTTTATCGTTAATGAGACTTATAAAATGTTTGATTTTGCGTTCAAAGTAAATATAGATTTACTTTTAATTCAATGATACTGATTCTAACTTCTATATTGAATCCATGTCTGGTATAATTTAATGTGTTTTCTTTGAACACACTTTTTGAATGCTTGTCCTCTGTGTGGGAATCAATTCTTGGCGCCCTTTATACCTTGATATTCTCAAAACAAGCCCCAGCATTGTATAATAAACATACCTCTTATTTAGTAATTTTATTTTCCACGATGGAGTTACTTTGAAATGCATTAAAATGTTTGTCTGAATTAGCATTTTTATCTTGCTCGTAGTTGGCAGGTTTTGGAATGAGTTTGCATCAATTTAACCTGGAACTCCTAGCTAATTAGCTCCTGCATGGTCCACTATTTCACAAGTTTACTTGTGAGATCCCACTTTTAGTGGGATAGTGATATAGTACCATTGTCCTATAGTTAACATGGGATGGGTTGACAACTAGGTCTGCCATGACTAAGGGTTACAGCCTGGGAAGAAGAGACTGCTATTGTCTACCCAACATAGCTCATGAGACCCTATCTTTGTTGCCATGTCTTACATTTGAGGATGTTTTGTTTGATCTGTCCCATCCAGTAAGTATTAAATAGAACTAGTGACCAGTTCCAAAAGCAAGTTGCTAGATCCAATGGTAACCCGTTTAACATTTGATTTTAATTTAATTTGAAATGAGTAGCAGAAGTATTTTAAATATGAGCAATGTTGGGAAACAACTGATCATGAAGCTGCTGATCACTCAGCTCAATGTACAGATTCTCGTTAATGTGTGTGTGTGAGAGAGAGTGAGTGAGTAGAAACATGTAATGATGTATATGCATCCTTCTAGTCATTCTGATTTATTGATGATGTGTTTCAGTGCATGTATATGGAAGAAATCATAATTTTTCTTGCTGTTTAGTTGCAGAGATAAGAACTGATCATGACATAATTGATAACACGTAACATATAATAGCTAATGCAGCAAGAGGAAAAAGATGGATGAATATGACTATTGATCATGTTTTTAGCAGTGTTTCCAAGAGAGAAAGATCAAAATATTATCGACATGTATAGTTCTTTGAGGCTTTCTTATTGAGTGAAAATTTATATGTAATTAATTTCCACTAAATAGACGGTGTCCTATATATGTAAATTTCACTGAAGAATAAAAAAGTATGTTGCTAGCATTCGAATGTTACAGGTATAATTAATAATAAACGTGTTATCAATTAAGATGTACTGATTTCACCTCAAATAATAAATTACTAAGTAGCATTTAAAAAACGTACAAAGAGTACAGATATGTATGTGCACAGTTACATGTTCTTTGCGACGTAGTGCATATCTACTTGTAAAAAATTATTTTAAGAAATTGCTTTTTCTCACATGAGTATCGTAGCTTTGACATCCATAACCCTTACCCATAGAGGTATGTTTTTCATTTTTGGATTTTCGTAGGTCCACCTGCGTGAGTCCATTGTGAACATTAGCATGTGAAGAGAACGAGTTCTGATCCGCACACAAGTAGCAAATATAGTTTGAGGAAGCAGAAGAATGATGGGTCCTTGTGGTGGAGAAGAATAAGGGTGTTCCCATGTGTTTATTTTTAACGCTTTTATACTAGTGAATGTCACCAATGAGAAAAGGTTGGAAACATCTAATGAACTCCAAGAGAAACAAGACAAATTTGAGCTGTTAAATGCAGTGAAATTTGAAGAAAACTGTGTATGCAAGTTGATTCGAGGTTGTTGTGGTGAAGATTAATTTAGTAGATGGGCCACACAGTTGAAAACTTTCATAATTTTTAAATCATTCGGCATGGGCACTCATATGGGCTGTTTCTACATGCTACGTCGCGTTTATGAAAATGAATAAGACTCTATATTTGTCAACTACGAATTCATGATAACTTTGTCTGAAACAATTTATTTTTCAATTGTTGTTTAAGCTTTCTTTTCTGCAACTTGGGGTATCAATGTCTCAACATTTAATTATCTGACAATATTGATATATTTTGTCATTAATTGGAATTCTTTAAGGAAATATAACGAGTCTCCTATGTAGTTTGTCCAGAACAATTCATGTCTTAGAGGATCAATTTGTAATTAAGGTAGTTTTTTGTTCAAGTTTCTTGGTGAAAAAGAGAATCAACACGTTAATTAGTTTGTTTGGCAGTGCAAGTGTTTTCTTAACAAAATATTGGAGGCTAATCGCCTAGTTATAATAATGATCGACTTTGGTATAACGAACGGTTCTTATCTTTTCATATTTTTGGTTAGACCTAATGCACTATTACTATAAAAGATGAAAAGCTTAAGTCTTGTCAGATCCTATATATTGAAATTGGATATATCTATACGTTTACATTATTTTCTATGCCCCCGGTAGGCTACCGATAAAAGATAAAAAATAATATGATTTTTTCAAAAAAAAAATGTATTCAGTAAAAGAGTTACTAGTATTTCTTGGAGCTTTGATGGTGTTTTCGATACATACAAGCAATGCTATACCTTAATATGATTAAATACTTGAAATTATTTGGAAGAGTTTATTTTGACTTTTAAAAATGATTTATAAATTTTACGGTTAAATTTATGAATAAATTTTCTTTTGATAAGAAATAGTTAAATACATAGTGTTTAATTAAGTTATTTATCGAAACATGCATTGATCATATATATATATTAAAATTTCTATAAATGAAGTTGAATCCTGGTTTGTTTTGCTTCCACGGTTTGTATCTCTCTTGAAAGCTTCATAAAGTGTTGAACAATTGTATATGCTTACGTGAATATTGCTACATATGCGGATAACAGTAGAGTTCAATTCTGAGGGGTGTACGACACCATTGTTTATGAAGTGCAAGAAAACAAATTATTAAAGACGGTTCAGAATTTGAAGTTTTCGGGATAGGAAATGAAATGTTGAACACAAATTCTATGCGCATACTTTCTAGTAGGTCATAGAGGAACCATTACCATTGCATGGCATTGACTAGGAAGGTGGTGATTTGATTTATGAGTTATAAATTAATGTGAGTTGTTTATTTACGTGCAAATATGTAACTCCGTACCTACGAACTTGTAGGTCTTGTGTAAATTTTTAGGAGTGCGATGTGCAGTGTATTTGGCCAATATATCCCCTCTATAAAATATTTACTGTGTATTTTAGACTTTTGTTCAATCTTTGACTATACTTGTTTTCATAAGAACAGGTAAAATGCAGTTTGTTTACCGTAACTTCATGTTCATGGCCTATAAGTTGGTCAGAGTTTAGGCATTAGCATCTTATTACATTTTTATTATACTATTTTCCACCATCTCTAGTTAAATATTTAACCTCACACCAGTTTTTATTTGAAATATTACCCTGCATGCTTCTAAAGTTGAAGTTCTAAAAAGACTTTTGTTACCAAAAACAATTTGTATTTTTGTGCATAAATATATACTTAGGAAAAGAAAGTCTTATGAAACTACAATAATAATTATACACTTAGTAAATATTATTGTTGATTACAGGAAGGGATTGTAGCGTATTTTCCACTTTAGTAATATTTATTTTGTATGTTTTGTAAATGAATTGGTATATAAGTTCACAAAAAATGTCATTTTGAAAAAAAATGATTGGCAGTTTCGTTGCACAATTTTGACAAAAACCGTATGAAAATCGTTTGCTTCATACTCATGCAAGGCATGTAAAATGAGTTGAAAGGAAAGAGATAAAAAAAAGGAAAAAAATAATATGATAAGTGATATGTAAAATTCATATTTTGTATTTCTTATTTAAATAATAACTTAAAATTTTTAAATAAAAAATTGATAAAAGATTAAATATGCTTAATTTTAAAACTAAAAAAACTTAGTCATCAGAAAAAAGAAATAGAAGTACAGGCATTATATATATTATGGCACATCATTCATTACGAAAAATTTATAGGAGTTCTCACCAATAAAGAAATCAATTTCATCATTTGAATAACTAAAACTAACTCTGAATATGATATTATGTGTAATTATACTTTAATTGTGATAAAAACAATGAATATTTACACAGTACAGTATTTTTATGTTTTTTTTTCAATTCTTAACCATGGAGAACATGTTCCTAGAGAGTTACAGGATTTCCTTTTTAGTTTATTTATTTTGAATGCAATAAACCTGAAACAAGTGATTGTGTTGATATGGCATAATAATTAGTTTCCAAGTGATGTGAACTGTATAATAGTTTGGAACTCCGCTGTACAGAAATGATATGACTGTAATTTACATCAACAACTTTGTGGCTCTAACCTTTAAGCATGTGCACTTCAGCAGTCATCTCTATGAGCTCAGCATCTCTGTACTGTATGTGGATCAAGCCCAATTTAGCATTTTTAAAAGGAATATTTGAGTAACCTTCTTTGGTTCTTCATGGCCCCCACCCCTCTCAATGTTAGAATTCTATGGGCTGGTTGTCAATCACAAACACTCAATTGGTGGGCCATTGCACCAAAATTATTTGTGCATATTGTGTAAATTTTGTGAAATTAAATAAAAATAATGAAAGATATGATAAATGATAGAATTTTTGTTTTAGTCTCTCTAAATTAAACCTTTTAGTTTTAATGTACAAAAATTAAGTATGAAGACATATATACTTGTCATTTGCAGAGAGTAAAGTCTCTTCTATTTTGAGAAAAGACAACCCAAGTTACAACATCCATATTTGCAAATGTGTCAGATGAACAGGATAATAAACCTTACATCACATGAACCATTTAATGTGAGATACGTCATCCCACACAGAAGAAATTTGATTCAATTGATTTGTTGGCTGGCTGCTTTGAATTAAATTCTTCGCTAGATTCAGTACCTTCCTTGCTTATAGACTTTAAGAAGCAAGTGGAAAGAAAGAAAGTAAAGGATTTGATAATATAAGATGAAGTCTCAAAATAGAAAGCAGTTATTGACCTTTCTCTTCATCAAATATTGGGATTGCTATATGTAGCAAAAAACTATTGGCTGTGTAACGCGAATTCCCCTTCATGCACCCATGGCCCAACCGTATATTCCATCCTTATACCTTGGAGACTATTTATGAGAATGAAAGTCTGAAACTTTCGCTTCTAATCAATCACATAAACTTCTTTGCCAAAATAAGGAAAAATGACTGACACAAACTACCTTTAAATCTTTACCAAAAAAGAGAGATTGGAAGGGAAATTGAAATTCTAGTATTGAAATTGATCACTAAAGTACGTACTGTACTTGTTACATAGATATAAATCACATGACGAACATTAGGAAAAAAAAAGTAAAAGCCTCATCATCCTTAGATTTGAAAAATGACCAACCACATAAAAAACTTGGTCATCGGAGAGGGCTCTGTCTCTGTGCTTTTTTTTTTTTTTTGGTTTGTGTATTTTTACAAGATATTGTTATTTTGTTTTATACAACAAATTCCTGAGGCTAAAAAAGAAAGCAGCACTAGTAGCTAGTCATGATGTCCTTTTTTAGAATTGGGAAATGCAACGTCTATGACAAGCAGTAGTACGCTGTTTCTTTTGCTTAGTCTCTTGTTTCCACACTTTGCCAATATCTTGAGCAATATTCACAGCATCAGATGAAGCACCAGAGAGCCCTCTCTTTGTGAACCCAACAGCATAGAGCCCAGCATTTCCTTTCCAACCATGAGGAAATGGCATCTTTGGGTATCCATTCTTGGAGAAAAATTCACCTTCCTGTACACAACATAACCCAAATAACATTAGTTCACTATTCACCCACACAAAAAATGTGCTAATAATTACTGTTCAAAATTAAAATTCAAAGAAAAGAAGCTTCTATAAAAAAAGGGTTAAAACTTTTGGTACTTTGAAAAAAGGACAAAACCTTCCAATATGCCCCAAAAAGCTTTCCAAACTGACAATCTTCTAAGGTGAGAATACTAGAAAAAAATATATTATTTTTTTATAGTTATAAGAAAAATTAAAAACAAAGGATCTAGAACATGTTTTCACCTGAAGCCAAGAAGGGACATTGCTGCGGTAACCAGTAGCAAGCACCACTGCATCAACCTCAAGCTTTTCACCATTATCAAGCTCAACCTCACCATTGTTAAACCTCTTGATTCCTGGCACCACTTTGATTTCACCAGATCTGATTTTCTCCAAGGCACCAATGTCCAAAACCGGGGTCTTCCCCTTTGTGTTCTTCAGCTCCAAAGGACCCGTTGAAGGCCTTTTCAGCCCAAACTTCTCTATGTTCCCTATAACAAACCACGCCAACAACAAGATAATCTTGTCAACAAGCCAAAGAGGCAACCATTTCAGCATCATAACAGCCAACTCAAACGTTGATTTGCCAAAGATCTCTCTCGGTAACACATGAACCTGTAATCCAAAAACAGAACAACCCGTGTCAGATTCCAATTCCATCCCAATTTACATAATCATATTAAAGAGAGAAAAACATATTTTATATCAAATTTAATTAATGAATCTTACAACTAGCCCCCCAAGTTTTTTGTTTAATAAAAAAATATATTTTTCTATGTGGGTCAACATGATAATATCATATTACTCAATAAAAACTTACCGAGCTACGAACAACCATGGATGGTGAAGCATGGTGGTTGCAAAGATCAAGAGAGAGTTCCATGCCAGAATTTCCACACCCAACAACAAGAACCTTCTTTCCCTTTAACGTTTCCCCTGACTTATACTCGCAAGCGTGAATAACATCACCTTTGAACTCACTCAACCCTTCGACATTAGGCATAACACACTCAGCATTTTCGCCAGTGGCAACAACGAGCCACCTGCAAATATACTCAACCTCGTTTCGGGTTAAGCCACTCAAAGAAGAAACAGTCTTAACACGCCAGAACCCACTTGTCTCATCGTACCTTGCTGACTGAACGCACTCGTTGAACTGTGGGTTGATCTCAAAGTGCTTTGCGTATGATTCTAAGTACTCTATGAACTGTTTCTTTGTTGGGTATTCAGGGAAATCTTCAGGGAAAGGAAGTTTTGGAAGCTGGCAAAATTGCTTTGGAAGGTGAAGCTTTAACCTGTCATAAGTGCGTTTTTGCCACAGTGAAGCTATGCAATCTGCTCTTTCGAGAACCATGAAGGGTACCCCTTGTTCTCTAAGACATGCTGCTGTGGCAAGCCCTGATGGGCCTGCTCCTACGATCACTGGGCCATTAACCCAAATGCAACGACGTGAGAAGAACTCTTCGTGATCCACTAAGCGAAACACGTTCTCCATTTTTATGTTTTCCTTTTGTTTTCGTATGTGGGTTGTGGAAGAAGAAGGTTTATGATGATTTGGAAGTTAAGAGAGAGGGACTTGGTTGTGTAATTGAGAATGTGAGTTTTGGATTGAATGAAGAAGGAGGGTGAGTGGAATGGGTTTATATAGGGAATTGGGTATGATAGGTGCATGTGATCCTGTGGGGAGTTAATGCATTAAATTATATTTCTACATTAAAAAATTATGCAGTTTCGTTGGTGTTTTAAATAATAAAATGGCGCATTTCAATGTCATTGTTTATCTTCTTTTTTTCAACTTGTAATGTGTTACTGTGATATTGAACTTTTGATGTGCAAATATCATTTTGATTGTCAAATCATGAGCCTTTGTTATTGGCAATTCTTTTATTATTATCTTTTATAACGTTATATTCCTTTTGATTATTTTATTAGATTCTATTATGGTATAATTGTTAAAAAAAAATTGGCAAGGATTAGCACATAATGTTGTGTGAAATTATTATTTCCTTGGAAAGTTTTCTTTCATCATCACAATCACAATGGGGCTTCACTTTTTGTTTATTTATTTAAAAAATACAACGATTATTTTCAATGTACATATTAAGTTAGGTAGCAACTTACTCTCATGGAGGTATACAAGTTTCATGTTAAACACAAAAACATATTTGCAAACCTTTGGGTAAGATTTAAAAGATCAATTTTAGAGAAGGAAGGGATCTACAATAATAAGCATAGTCAAACAGAATAGGAAGGAGAATAAGGAGGCAATGATGATGACAAGTCATCCTCATCTGATTCTTGGGGTCCATAGTCCATACAATAGTGAAAGGAAAATAATTAAATAAATAAATAAAGCAAAGCATACTATAGTTGACACAAAAGCTTAACAAAAATAAATTTATTTCATCAAAGAATATACTTAAGTTTTGCCATACAACAACCATTCTAGCCTAGGTTTTGATTTTGAATACAAAACATGATTTATTACACATAATAATCTAAATCAAGATGAACATAATTACATTCTTTAAAAGAGTGGATGTTGGTGGAAGAAAAATCTAAAATAGAGTTAATGATGAGGTGGCAAAGCGAGTGCTGACTAAGGGTCGGCGACCCACGTGGAGTGGCTGAGCGAAGGTGCAACGAGAGGCTGAGGTGACGCAATAGGCTGGACCCAAATTGGCATAGCCCACTCTGCCAACTTCACTTTCACACACCACTTATGCCACGTGTCTGTTTCCCATTTGCCCAACTGTATTTCTTCACGAACTCTCATACTCGTTTTTAAACACAAGAATTTAAATCTCCTTCCACATCCTCTTCTTTAATGCATATAAATATATATGTCTTTTTTCTTGCTTTTGAATTCCTCTTCGTCGACAACATACAAGTTTAATTTCAAACTATTCATAAATACTTTTAAGATATTAAATAAAATTAAAACTAAAATATATGAAAAACATTGTTGACATACTTTTCTCATAATTTTAATATAATCTTACACTAATCCTTGATGAAAAGTATTTATTTATTTAATATTTTTAGAATATTTATTAGTAAGTCTTGTGTAAAACAAATGAAAAGTGTTAGCAATAAATTTTAACAATTTTTATTACTATTTAATTTATTTAAAACTACAAATAAAGCTTATTAAATAAAAAATGAGCTGAACCGTATATGTTTTATTTCTTTTATTTTAAAATTATTGTCTTTTAAAATTGAGGCACAGAGAACTTATGTAAAACTTTATTATACTTTCACTAAAATATTTTTATTTATTTTTAGTTAGTTGACAAGTTTTAAAATAATTATCCACGTATATAATTATTAAATGAAGACATGATTAAAAAATATTGACAAAACCTTGAATTTCTAAATTGAAAATAATACTGAAATAAAAAATATCTATAATTTAAAATGAAGAGAATAATTTTGAATAAATTTTAATCAATAAAAAATATGTTAAAAAATATATTGTTTACTCCTTCATGCTCACTTTAGCATTTATTAAAATTAAATAATTGTATGTTTTTAGTTGGAGGTCGACCATTAGTTATCCATAGAAATAAATGCAAGGTCAATGTTGAAGATTAGTTGTTATTTAAAAAAAAAAATCATTTAATAAAAATTATGGTATTTTTTAAATAAAAACTCTAAATCCTACTAAAATATTAATGTTTTATATTATAAAGATGTTAAATTTATAGTAGAAAGATAAATATTACTATTACTCAGAAAGATTATAAATTATTTCATTCCGGAAAATCATGAAAATGATTAAAAAGAAACAAACACTACGCCCGCGAGGTACTACAGTCTAGAGTAGATAGTTCTTTAGTTTGGATTTTGGACTTTTAGCTTTTTACGACACAATCCGGTTATCCCATAGGCAAGTTGCGCATATAGTTTCACCTTCATGTACTTCGATTGGAACTCAGAAGGACACATGAATCTTCAAGTTAATGTGCTTGATATGTACACTTCACTGGTGAGAAATGATTGAAGAATGTCGCTTTCGGTGTGTTGTAAATAATCTAAATTAATTATATGACTTAACGTCCATACTAACGATAAAGTAGTACTAATTAACTTAAAGTAGGTCTTAACAACAAGTCTCTTTAATGAGTTGACAGTAAAGTGTTATTAATAAAACAAAGTACCTAACTAGCTCTAGTTAGATTTTAATTAGTGTTAATACCTTATTAGCAAATAGGTGATATATATGCGAGTACAACTATGTGGCTGCATATGAGGAGCTGTTTTTGAGAAAATCATAGGGAGCACCCCACATCTCCACTTAGAGAAGTTGTTAAAATTTCATGGGAGAGAGAGGAAAGCATGTGCATGAGGCCATGAACTTCATAGAAGTCTCTCCTTTTCATGAAAAGATTGTAAGCTACGAGCTTGGCGTTTCTCTAAAGGTCTTGATCGATGTATTATTAAATTTGCTTTGGAATGAATGAATGAATGGTATTATAGGGAGGCACCATCATTCCAATCTTGCTCCTGTTCCTGTAGCGTACTACTGTGTGATCCTATATATCAAATAATGCTCCAACAAACAATCATCCAAATGGCTACACACCAAACTAAGATATGCGAAGGAGTAATATATACATAGATATATGTTAATTTCATTAGCTAGTCATATCTAATGTGCATGATATGATAGGGATATGTGTCTTATTTCTTATCCTAAGCTCTCCACACCAGCCTTGCACTGCTCTCCACAGCTATATGGCTTAGGAGCCCCCCCCCCCATATTGCACAGGGCATTTTCTCGTTACTATGTGAGATTCATCACCACTTCTTTCCCCCCAATTATTGATTCTCTTCCCTTTTTCTTTAACCATTTTCTTTAATTTATTTTTTGTATGCTAATTAGTAATTGGTTTCCTAGCTAGGACTTTTGTCCAAGATAAATTATTTATTAGTTAATTAAGCTTTTTTAGTCGGCGGCGAGGATCGCTTAAACAATATTATACATTTAACAAAATAAACGCGTTTATGATAATTTATATTTATATATATATTACGCGTGACTGAGACTCATTATAGTCTACTTTACATGCAACTATAGTTTAATATTAGTTAGCCAGTGGCCTCTAGCTATGACAAATAAAGTTTATACATTATGGCTAGCTTCTTCGAAGTTTAAGGGCGATCAAATGACTTTTGATTGATGAAATATTCTCAATTGCCAACTTCACCTTAGCAGAAAGTTAACCCATTCTGCATTGGAATATGGCCATGGCGGTGGAACTGTAGTACAACTTTCGATTATAAAAAAATAAGTTCCAAGTCCCACTTCCCAATTACCCATTCTCATTGTTATGCTGCTAAGAAATTTCTGAGTCAGTGGATTGTTGTTGGAGTTCGAGAGGAATGAGAAGGCGTGACACCAAAAAGTTTTTGGGTTATATTATTCTTTTTTGTCTCTTGCAAAAATGCACAAGGGGGATGTTTGTTCTTAATCATAACGAAAGGTCTCTTTGGTTTTGAATAAACAGACGCGTGTCCAACTTTTATATAATTTGCTAAGCTGAATACTGTAGCCTACAAGGGTACTTAGGAATAAAATGTTTCACATCTCTGATTTTTTATCTCATGCTTAAAGGAATGTAAAAATATCATTATTTGAAACTGGTCATTAATTTATTTTTTAACTGCAAACTGTATCCGATTTAGGTTAATCTAATTCGAATTTTAAGTTCTATAAAGTTAAATTAAAAAATGCATATTTTTATTCAAATAAAAAACAAATGTTTAAGCTCAACTTAAATAAATATTTTATTCAAAGTGTTCACGAGTTAACAAAATTTGATTAATCTGATTAACCCAACCTAACTTATTTAAAATGAGTGAATTGGTTTGAGCAAATGAATCTGTTCATACAAATATTTTAAAATTTGATAAAGCATGGATGAAGTCTCAAGTTTTTAGTGTTAAAACTTAACACAATTCAATGATCAATTGGTGTTAGTGACCTTAATTTTAATTACATTCCTACCTCCTCCACCTCTAAAGGCTTCAAGAATAATGATCCATTCTTCCCTTCTATCATTTATTCTTCATATCCTCCTTCACATGTCAGCGGCTGACCTGGCTTAGCTCCCTACCCTAACACAAGTTGTGACCTCACCTCTACAATGCCTATGATGTTGGATCTTTTTTCTTTTTTGGTGTTCATTTATTCGTTCCTAATCTTCTATGACATTGATAATATTATTTATGTTTGTTCTTTTTCAATTTTAGTTTCAAGTCTTCTACGATGTCAATAACAACTTGACTTGTGTGTTTGCTTGCTCCATTTATTTTTCAAACTATTTTATATAACGTTGTAAGTGCTAATTAGACTACTTAACCTAACCTATCCGTGGTCAGCTTGGTTCAAGTTAAGTCAAGAAAAAAATGGTCAAAATTAACTCAACTCATGAAAATTTGATCAAGTTGGATCATTTTATTTATCAAATCCCCTCAATCCAACCCATGAACACTCCTATA